GGCGGCGGCGGCGGCAGCGGCGTCAGCGGCGGCCCACAGCCCAGGCGCCGGAGCAAGATGGCGGCGCGAGTCCTGCGCGTCGGCGGAGCGGCCTCCCCCTGCAGCCTCCTGCCCGGGCTCCGGTGAGCAGCGCCGCCCTTTCGGGGAGGGGCCGCCGCGGGGCGGAGGGTGCGGGGCCCCCGGTACGGGTCCCCGTCCCCGCCCCGCTCCCTTGGGGCAGGGCCACCGAGCTGAGACCGCAGTCGGCGGGGCCGGGGCGGGCGGAAGCCTCGGCGGGGACAGAGCGCCTTTCCGGCGTGCTCAAGGTCAGGGCGGGGACGGCGCTTGGCGCGGAGGCCACGTCCGCCAGCCGTGCTGGCCCGGCCTGCAGGACCTTGACCCGCATAGTGGCCAAGTGGCAGACGCGAAGGCTGAGACCGCAGGCCCTGGAGTCGGCCTGCCGGCTTCTGGCTGGCCGTCCTGAGAAAGCTTTTGACCCCGCGCAAAGCCTCGATGTCGGCATCAGCAACGGCAGTAGAGATACCATTTACCTCTTAGGTTATTGTGAAGACGAATAGCATCCCGGGTGAGCCCTAGTTGAAGGGGTTGCGGGGATCAGTGAGGAACAGTACTAGGAACAGCCTTTGACGTGCATTTAGAAGTAGGTAGTGGGGCTGGCTGAGTGGCGCTTTGGTTAGGAGTTGGTGTTGAACGCCAGCTCTGAGCAGCAGGGCCCCTATTCGGATCCCACATGTGGGCCAATGACACTGTGCCCTCTGCAGCTAAAATGGTGAACAATAGCTGGACCTGGAGCTGGGCTGCTGTGAGTGGTGGGCGTTGGCTGCAGCCCCTGCTGCAGTGGGCTGCGGTGAACTACCCTGAGTGGCTGGCAGCCAGCGTGAGCCACCGTGAGCGGCTGTCCAGTGGCCAGCTAGTGACTGCCTCACCCGGAAAGAGCACAATGATGATACCAACATGGGCCAGTGAAGCGATGCCCTCCACAACTAGACTGAAGAATGAAAGTACAGCAACTTCTCTGTTCCCGTTCCCCGATTCCCCAATGCTGTTCCCCTCCCCTAATTCCCCAATAAAATTAAAAAAGAAAAAAGTAGGTAGTGGATCAACAAGTATTTACAATTATCAGCACTAAGTAAGCATGGGTTCATGTTTTAACTTTTTTTCTAAACTCAATGGATTAAATGTTTGGTTTTCTGAATCCATCACTTTGATATATCCATGTTCCATTTTCAGCATTAAAAGCAAAAACCCAAAGCCCATACTAACGCATAGATTTGCTTCCTCGTTTTCTTTAATTGGGTAATTTAAATGTGGTGGTTTTTTTGGTCTCTTTTTAATTCGATAATGAGCCCCTAGAAAGTACAGTTGATATTTAAAAATGAAAAAGCGAAAAAACTACTTGTTTGTTAAACTTCTATTGTGGGCCAGGGAGCTTTATATAATATGGCTTATTTTATTAAACCCTAGTAGCAGTGTCAGGTAATTAATGGGATCCGCCTTGTAGAGATGAGGTGAAACCACAAAGGGTGAGAGAGAAATAGCTAGAAAGGACATTTGAGCTCAAGTGTGTCAAGCTTTAAGCCCAGCTCCCTTCCAAGGACTGATGCTCAATTTGTATTTCTAAATTTGATGTTTATGTTTTCAAGTTGATTAACAAATCAACCTCCTTTTATTTTCATTCTGTTTTTGAGCATCTACTGTGTGTCTTATTTTTTTCACACAGGTGATATGAGCTCATGAAATTCATATTTTCTTCTTTGAGCTGAGACTGAATGTGTTCACCCAACATGACTACCTAAAGTGCCCAAGGTCACAAAACTAGGGAACGAGACTTGGACTTGGGTCTGCCCAGTACCCCAACTTCCTGCTGGGGCCAAATGCTCTTGACCTTGGAATTCTTATCTCTATCCAATCTGTTGGCTCTTTCATTGCTCTCTCAGGTCCCGTGTACCTTTTGACTACTCCTTCCTGGGCTCTAGTCTGCCTTAACTGTAGATGTTCTTTAGGACTCAGCCTAGATCCAGTTAATTATCTGATTTTATCAAACATTGAATACAAATGCCTTGGAAGTCCTGTGGAACTGAGCATAATATAGCTATGGTCACTATCCCCAGGAAGTGATGGCAGAGGTAAAAACCCATATAGACTCACAGATTGAAGTATTGGGTTGTCAGAAAAGTCATGACGCATTTTTGCAACGAAAAACAGAAAAAATGCTTCATGACTTTTCCAACAACCCAATATATGCTATGAGAAAATCCAGGAACCTACGACATGACATTATGGAAGGTATCTCGGTGACATTAAGCTGAGACCTAAAGGGTCAGTGTGCATGAAACCCTGAGTGGGAAGGAATCAGGCATTCTGGGAAACCCCAGAAAAGTCTAGGAGGTTGGAACACAGAGGTGAAGGGAAGACAGGTGGCAAGGAGGGGGTGCCAGATAATTCCAAGCCTTGCAAACCATCTTAGTTTGGATTTTATTCTGGGAGCCATGGAAAACATTTAAACATATAAATTCTAATATGACATGATCTGATTTATGTTTTTAAAAAGTAAGTCTGACTTGGGAAAGGGGACAGAATCAAGGGTAATGGCCAACTGGGTGGATGCTTGTGCCATTTATTGAGAGTCGTTTGTTCCGTAGGTATATGAATGCCCGCCATACGCCGGGTGCTGTTGGAAACAGTGAATATGGCACACAAGGTCCTCACCACTGCGAGCTTGTTAGTAATTCAGAGGAGGAGGAACAGGTGTGGGGTGGGAGAGAGCAGTTTTGAACTGGGTAAAGTTTGAGATGGCTGTGAGCTATTCACATGGAAAGGCCAAGTAGGCAGTTGACCTACTTAAACTGTGACTCCTCAAAGGACAGGTAACATTTGGAAGTTGTCAGTACATAGAACAGCAAAATGTAGGTAGATAGATACATGGGCTTTAGTATACTGTTTTGTATTTGATTGAAATGTTTTTTAAAACCATAGGAATGAGTGAGATTGCTTGAGGAGAGTGTGGCTAGAGAAGGGGCTGAGAAACAGAACCTGGGATGTGTCATCATTTATAGGCTGGATATAGGAAGAAGAAAGAGAGACCGGTGAGGTCACTGTTGTATGGCATTGCCCAGGGAAAGGTATTTCAAGGAGGAGTGGTCAACTGTGCCAGCTGCTGCTTTAAGGTTAAGATTACAGAAGAAAACTGGGTTTGCCAACAGGAGTATTGTGGGTGACCTTGCAAGAACAATTTCAGAGGGAAAGGAAGAAGTCTTCCTGGGAGACTTACTTGCTAGCACTTCTTCCTTAGCTCTGCCCAGTGCCAGGCCCAGAGTTCCAGCTACTTAGTGGACATTAAGTGTCCCACAGCTGCTTGAGATGTTTATGTACTCAGAATTCAATTCATCTTCCTCCGCCAAAGCCTGCTTGCTTCTCCTGGGTTCTCTCTCCCCAATGATGGAACATCTTTCATTTAGTGGCTCAGGCCAAAAACCGGAAGTTCTCTCCTAAGTCCATCCCCTCCCTCTCAGCTCCCTCCAGCATGCTTTCACTGTGCCTTCTCTGTGGCCCACCCCCCTAGCTCAGCTCTGGGCAGCATGCTCCCTGTCTTATTGCTGCAGTCCGTCTGCAATGCCACTGTCCGGCTGCTTTTTACACCTAGAATAATTTTGAGAACTTGCTAGGATCACTCCATGTGTAGGGTAAAGCTCCGCTGATGTGACATGATGTGGCACGGTGCACAAGAGCCTGACCACCCTGCTTCTTGCCCTCCCGTCATCTCTTGCCATCCTCCCATACCCTGCTCTGCCTTATTGAACCCTGCTATTCCAGAAATGTGCCATGCAGTGTCATGACTCCGTGCCCCAGACATGTTCCCTGTGATTGGCATTACCTCCTGCCTTGTCCACCCGTCTTTTTTTTTTTTTAATTGTTAGTTTCAGGTGTACAGAACAATGCAATAGTTATCCTTTTCACCCTTCACACAGAAGTAACCTCCCTCCCTCACTACTGCCCTCCCACCCCCGATATCATACTTATCTATTACAATTCCATTCCACCTGTCTTTCTTGTCCTGCAAGACAGAGCCAGAATGCCTCCACTGGACTCCTTGCTTCTCTCAGGCCAGGCCTAACCGTTCATTACTTTGAGCTCCCACAGTGTGGGTGTGAGTCTGCAGTGTCCATGATCACTCTAGCTGTTTACTAATAGGTTTTCCCTGTGAGTCTGCACACACTAGGCATCTGGTTCATCTTTATGGCCACAGAGCCTGGTGCATAATACTTAATGCTATTTAAAGTCGAGTGCTTTATGGAATGTGCTGCCCCCACGCCATCCTTTGTAAAGTGCCACATAACATATATATGAATTTATAAAGACAACTGATTGTGGTGTCTTATTATCCTGTCAGCTATTGTTACAACTGCTTTTACCCCTTTCCATGATTCATCTTGCACAGATAGATGACCTGGGCACTTTAGGCAGCTTTGGTTACCTGACACTCAAAAGATTTCAAGAGTTTGACAGTCAGTTGGGGGTAATGCAGGGCCAAACTGTTTTTCATTTGTCAATTGCTACCAAAGTTCACAAGCAAACACCAATCAGGTTCTTGTGTGTGGCCTGTAATATTGACTAGTTCTTAGGCTTATTTTTAGTTTACAAAACATTTCCATATCTCTAACCTCATTTTACCCATTCTAAAGTATATCCCTTTGGTATTATTAAAATCTGGAACAAATGCTTAGTTGGGGAGATTTGTGTTTGGAAGGCATCCCTTATTAGTAAAAATATTTTGAACTTCATAGATCTAGGTTTATATTTTTATTTTGCCACTTCTTAGCTCAGGTCATAAATTGCCTCTCTGAGCCAATCTTTAACATTTGATAATACCTGCTCTGGTAGATTGTTCTGAGGACTACATGAGATGACGTAGACAAACTAGTCTAGTGCCTAGCAGGCAGTATGTACGTGTAATCCCCTTAAGTTCTAAAAAAGAGAAAAATTACTTTGGAATTTTTCCCCCTCCAGATTTTAGTCTGTCAGTAATTGTTTATATGCTCTCATTTTATAAAATATTAGATGCCATAGAAATTAAATATCAACATACGTACATATGCTTGTGTATGCATTTCTGGAAGGATACATTAAAAACTTATTAGTATAAGTTGCTTTGGTAAGTATTTCATATTTTAAATTCCCAAAGCTGATATTTTTAGAAACTTTCATGGTACCCCTTTCTTAGTTGTTCATAATTGTTATTCCTAAACTCTCACAATTTATTTAACCAAAAAAATTTTAAACACAATTTCTGTTTAGTGAACTTAAAGTCTAAAATAAAGAAAAACAAGAATTATACAAAGTTCCATTAACAAATATTAAAACTTTCTACTTCGTAGAAATTTTATACAATAATTTTATACACTTGCCATTTCGCTTCATGATATTATGCAAATTCTCCAAATGAATCATGGTCAAATTTATTTCAAAATTTATTGACAAAATATTTTTAATTTTATTGAAGTAAATTTTAGCATGATTCATTTGGATAATTGCCTTCTTCAGAATGAGTTTATTTACATAATCAAAGAGTAAATTGAAATCAGAAACAAATACCATATGATTATGGTTTTTGCTAAAGGGCTAATAGTTTTTATATATAATTTATTTTATTTTTAAAAGTTTATTGAAAAAGTAGTTTCAAAAACAATTATTTAACTCTCCTCTCAGGGATCTCACCATTAACACTTTCTTAATTCTATGAAATTTTAATATATGGTAAAAGAAAAATAGAAGAATTTCCAACTTCTTTCTACAAATGCTATTTAAGATTATATCTTTTTCTCCACTTATAAGAAAAATTGCATGACTTGTATTAACTTATTAAGCTTGTTTACTCTAAGCTTGATGCTTTTTAATCTTTGAAGGATTTGAAAAAATACTTTTATATTTCTTGATCATTATTTATAGAAAACATTAATTTTATATTTATATATTTTATGTTTGTTTATTTGTAAGCTTACATCATTCAAAAGTTTTTATCTGGTTTCTAGCTGTTTGTGATGATATTGTATGAATTAGTTTTAATAAAAGAACCTCTTGGGGGAGAAAATTGCTTGTAATGTTTGTTCATTAAAGCAGTAAGTCAATTTTTTTTTTCCAGCAAAAAAAAAAAAAAGAAAAAGGCTGCCATTCACTATTAGTACTTCACTTTGTGTGTGTTACATGCCTGCTGCTTTTTCGACATAATATCTTTCTGAGACATGTGCATGTAGATCTACCTTTTTTTTCCCTCTTAGTTTCAGGTGTACAAAACAGCATAATAGACATTTACACCCCTCACAAAGTGATAACCTCACCAAGTCTGCCAATCATCTGACACCATACATAGCTATTACAATACCATTGACTGTATTCTCTATGCTGTACTTGACATCCTGTACTTTACATGATATGAGGTCTGACAATTAAGTTTGCAAACTCATCCTAGAAAAAGTGCTATATATACCTCATTGCTGAATATCACTACAGTTATCTTCAAAGTACTCCCCTTGGGAAGCTGTGCACTGACGCCAGCACCCAGTCCACCCTTCAAAGCAATTTTGGAACTCTTTTTCTGGAATGGCCATCAGAACTGTCATTGTATTACCCTTGATGTCCTGTGTCATCAAAACGTCTTCCTTTCAATATTTCCTTTATCTTTGGGTAAAGAAAGAAGTCATTGGGGTTCAGATCAGGTGACTAGAGAGGGTGTTCCAATACAGTTGTTTACTGGCTAAAAACTCCCTCACAGACAGTGCCTTGTGAGCTGGTGCATTGTCGTGATGCAAGAGCCATGAATTGTTGGCAAAAAGTTCAGGTCATCTAACTTTTTCACGCAGCCTTTTCAGCACTTCCAAATAGCAAACGTGGTTAGTTAACTGTCCAGTTGGTACAAACTTATAATGAATAATCCCTCTGATATCAAAAAGGGCCAGCAACATTGTTGCAACAAGTTCACAAACTTAATTGTCATACCTTCATATATACATTTTAATTATAGTTGACATTCAATATTATTTTATGTTAGTTTCAGGTGTACAGTGCAGTAGTTAGGCATTTATATAATCTATGATGTGAACCTCCCGATTAGTCCAGCACTCATTTGACACCCTACAAAGTCTTTACAACATTATTGACTATATTCCCCATACTGTATTTCACATCCCTGTGACTATTTTGTAACTACCAATTTGTACTTCCTAATCCCTTCACTTTTCTCACCCATCTCCCAACCCCCCTCTTATCTAGCAACCATAACTTTGTTCTCTGTATCTGTGAGTCTGTTTCTGTTTTGTTTGTTTGTTTATCCTGCCCTTTAGAGTCTACGTATAAGTGAGATCATATGGTACTTGTCTTTCTCAGGCTGACTTATTTCACTTAACATAATATCCTCTAGGTCCATCCGTGTCATTGCAAATGGTAGGATTTCATTGTTTTTTATGGCAGAGTAATACTTCATTGTATAAAGGTACCACAATTTCTTTATTCAGTTATCTATTGATGGGCATTTCGGTTGTTTCCATATCTTGGCTATTGTGAATACAGCTTCAGTAAACATAGGGGTGCTTGTATTTCTTTGAATTAGTATTTTGGGTTTCTTTGGATAAATACCCATGAGTAGAACTGCTGGATCATCATAAGGTAGTTCTGTTTTTAGTTTTTTGAGGAACCTCCATACTGTTTTCCAAAGTGGCTGCACCAATTTGCAATCCCGTCTACCTCATTTTTTTTTTTTTTTTAGCTGAGCCATCCTGCCACCTGTTGGCAGCTCAGCAGCAGCTCAGCTCAGGCCGGGAGTTGAACCGCTGTTGCTCAGAGCTTGCACTGTTGAGCGAGCTCTTAACCAACTGAGCCACTCTGCTGGCCCTACCTCGTTCTTTTTAATGACTGCATTCTATTCTGATTTTGGATATTTCCCAGTTCTTTTGACCAGTTCCTTTAATGGATATTCAAATTGCCTGTACCAGGAACAAGCTGGAAACAAGGTAGTAATGAACGTTCTTGTGCATTCAACTTTGTGTACTTGACTAAATATAGCTGCCTGCAGGACATAACTGCAAGTGCAATTATTGGGCCAAAAGCCTACAGTTTTAATTTTCATATAAGTAATCCCACACTGCCCTCGAGGGAGGTTACACAAATGTGTAATCCCACTCACCAGCATATGGAAGTATGCACTGAAAAATAAACTCATAGACACAGACAACAGAATGGTGATTCCCAGATGGGAAAAGGGAGGAGGGAGAGGTGAAGTGGGTAAAAGGTGTCAAATATATGGTAACGGAAGGAAACTATACTTTGGGTGGTGAGCACAGAATAGAGAAAAAACAAAAATTGAAAAAGGGGGCCGGCCGAATGGCTCAGCTGGTTAAGAGCTTGCTTGGGAGCACCAGCTCTGAGCAACAGGGCTGCGGTTCGGATCCCACATTGAGGGCCAGTGACGCTTGCCCTCTACAGCTAAGATGATGAACAACAGCTCAACCTGAAGCTGGGCTGCCGTGAGCTACATGAGTGGTTGGCAGCCAGCGTGAGGGCTGGTAGCCAGTGTGAGCTACCGGGAGCCGCTGTAAGCAGCTGACCAATGACCGGCGACCGATTGCCTCACCCGGGAAGAGCACCATGATCATACCAACATGGGCCAGTGAAGTGACGTCCTCCACAACTAGACTGAAAAACAAAAACAAAACAGCAATCTATCTACCTGTCTGTTCCCCTTCCCTGATTCCCCAATGCTGTCCCCCTCCCCCCAATTCCCTAATAAAAAAATCTTCAAAAAAAAAATAAAAAAAGGAAAATAAAATTTTTTTTAAAGAAACAAAACAATACACAGATGTCAAATTATAGTCTTGTACACTTGAAAATTATATAATGTTAATGTTACCTCAATAAATTAAAAAAAAAGTTTGTGGTTAAAGTATAGTTTGTTACTTCAGTCAAATTTATGCTCACTTTCTGAAAGCCTGTATAGTAGAAATTGTCATGAGATAAAGACCAGCAAATTATATGTTAATGAAGTTTGTATTAGGTTTTTTTGACAGTTAAAATTAGATTTTAAGGTTAGTTTAGGGGTAAAATAAAATATTTTTAAACACAGAATTCATTTCTCTGTATATTGCTTATTCTGGTAAAGTATAGGTAACAAAGTTTTCAGTTCTAGTCTTTTTTATTTTGGGGGGAATTGGGGAAGGAGAACAGCCAAGCTGTTTTCCTTCAGTCTTAGTTATGAAGGACACAGCTAGCTCAGCTCCCAAGTCCAGTTGCCATCCGGCCGCCTGTAGGCAGTTCACAGCTGCTCAGCTCAAGGTGCAGTGTTCAATCTTAGTTGCAGGTGAGCATAGCCCACCATCCCATGCGGGAGTCGAACTGGAAACCTTGTTGTTAGGAGCACGTGCTCTCTCACCAGCTGAGCCATCCTGCCACCTGTTGGCAGCTCAGCTCGGGCGCAGCTCACTGGCCCATATGGGAATCGGAACTAGCAACCCTGTTGCTCAGAGCTTACGCTCTTAACTGAGCCTCTTGGCTGGCCAGTTTTAGTCATTTTTAAGGTGTACAGTTCGTAATGGCATTATACATTCACATTATTGTGCAACCATCCATCTCCAGTAAATTTTCATCTTCCCAAACTGAAACTGCCCATTCTCCCCTCCCCTCAACCCCTGACAACCACCTTACTACTTTCTTTCTCCATGAGTTTGGCTACTCTAAGTTTCCATGTATATTTTTTCTAAGTCAAAAATTGCTTTGCAGGAGGGAAAAACATATAGCAGAAATTGCAAAGATAAACATGAGACCTCTGTTAAAAGAGCCACAGTTACTTCTTTTACACTTTGCTCCTGCTGTTGAGAGCACACATAGTGGAAAGCAGACGTTTTGTGGTATCCTGGGTTCTAGAACAGTGTCTAGAATAGGTGATCAAGGCATGTTTGCTGAATGGATTGATGAATTTATGAAAACAGTGTACTATATGACACTACCTAAAGACACTAAAATCTTTGTGCCTCTGATGAGACTCAGATTTTTATGTTTGTTATACCATAGGAAATTGACGTCTTCCAGTAACAGACCTCGAGAAGACAGCTGGTTAAAATCCTTATTTGTCCGGAAAGTTGATCCAAGAAAAGATGCTCACTCTAATCTCCTAGCCAAAAAGGAAACAAGCAGTCTATACAAATTACAGTGTGAGTGATAGGTCTGCTATCTTCATAGTTGACTTTTTTCCCTTTGTTCATAAGTTTATCATTGAATTTTATTTTGTTTCAGTTCACAACGTTAAACCGGAATGCCTAGAAGCATACAACAAAATTTGGTGTGTATACCAAACTATCCTTTCCTTGGGGAAAAATGATTTTAGTATTTGTTGGTTCAGGTAACGCTTGATAGCAGAGTGAGATCTTTGTTCCCTCTTATTAAGACTGAAGGTTCAGAGCCTCTTAAATTGAGCTCTGTGTGGGATTACCAAGGGCATTTTGACCTTAGGACTCATACAGCTAAATCATTACATAAGCTGTCAAACTCTAGAATGTTATTAGACCCTTAAAGTTGGAAGGAACCTTGCAAGGCTGTCTAATCCATCAAGTCATCCAGTGCCTGAGTCCTTTCTGTAGACCCTCCTGACTGCCTCTGCTTCAATATAGTCATACATCCCACCTCTGGACAGCTGTAGTGTTAGGAATTAGAGCTCATGTCCCCGTGACCTCCATTGTTTCCAATTTTACTTCTAAGTAAAACTGCCACATGGGAATCCTGTGTGTATTTGAATGTTTCTGCCATTTCTTCTCAAATCTTCCGTTCGCCAGATTCTCATGATTTGAAATCTATGTGTTCTTACAGAATTTGTAAACTTTAAGGCTAAAGAGAAAATTAAGTGTATCAGTTCTTAATAGAAATAGTATTTTAATGATTAATTCTGAGCAAATATAATTTAAAAGCATTTATTTACCTTTAACATCTACTTTCCTGAGAAAACAAATTATTTTTGTCACCAGAATCTGCATAATTTTCAGAAGCAAAACTCTGTTGTTTTGTTTTTAGAGGTGGTTTGTGCAGCACAGTTCTCTTTATGAAAATACGTCCTAAAACAAAGTAGGTGCTTATTTCTAAGTCTTCTCTCATAAAATGAAATTATTTCTCTGTGCTGGTGTTGCCCTGGATTATCTTCCTGTCTTCTTGTTATTGCTTCATCTCTTGTCTCAGATTTCTGTTTGTGCTTATTTGGATGTCTTGCTCTCCCTTCAAACTCAACAGGTGGAGTTACCTTGCTCTCCGAACTCCGTGTGTGTGTCACTCACCTTGGTTTTATCTCACCCTTACCTTAGTTCTTTGTGATCAGCAAGTTACGAAGGGCTATGCATTCCTCATTTGACACATATCTGGTTCTCTTTGCTTGTTTCCTCCATCTCCCTCTTCCAGCCTGTTGACCCCATTTCCAAGTAGCCTCCTTTCTGACTTCCTTATGGGCTCATAGCTGCACCTGTACTCCACCCATCCTGCAAGCCATTACCCCAAAGTTTGCCAAATCTATCTGCTTGAGTGCTGTTTTCTCCTTCATTGTGTTTTGTTTTGTTTTTCCTCTCTGAAACTTTCAGTAACTCCCTGTTTCCAGTACATAAAATTTTAACTCCTGCCTGGTTTGTAGGGGCCCCAGTAATGAGGTTCTCCCCAACCCATCCATTTCTGGGTACAGGTACTACCTACCTTACAACCTCCATTCAGATCAGGTCAGGACTTTCAAGAGCATGTTTGGGGCCCTGAACAAAGAGGATTGGAACAGTCCATATATGACTTCGTATTAGTGAAAACCCCATGTCCGGTCTTCAGGCCTTGGTCCCTTCCTGGAGCCCACCTGGACGGTTTGTACCGGCTTCCTTCTTCCACATTGGCTCCAATTTCCTACTCATAGCATACAGCAAAAAGGAAGCCCATTTTCATTTTCCCAACATAACCCATCTTTCTTCACCCTGATTTCCATGAATCCCCTGTTAGTTCTGAACATAAGTCTTCATGAGCCAGTACAGTGACAACACCATGTGTATTTTTTGAAGAGTGGCATTTACTTTTATGGGCTTTTAGTGAGACAAAAGACCAATTGACCTTTCCTCTGTTCACTATTAATATACACCCAGTCCTGGTGCCCCGGCATCTGGTGGTGGTCACTAGCTTAGTACCACTCAGTGTCAGCAAATAATTTGAACAGGTTCCATTTATGATCCTTGACATCCTTCTCATCCATGGTCGAGTCTGTATTATACTTTTTCATCATAGTTTTTCTATTCAAAAGCATGCAGGCTTTAGCTTTTCTCTTGATGTGGCACAATTATGTCTATTCCCTTTGCTTTTTCCTATAAATTAGAATCTGTACTACAGGATGGTTTCCATGGAGCCAAGCTCTGACATCTTTTAAATTAATACACTGCCATTACCTATCAGTGCTTTGTCTGTACTCCTGTCTACACTCCTGTACACACACTCTTGGGTGATGGACTAGGTGGTATGTTCATTATTTAATGCTTTATGTTATATCTTTAACTTGGATTCTTCTGTCATGTTGATGCCCTTTGGAACTATCAGGATGGAGTCGCTTCCAGACTGTTGTGTTCTGGCTCTGGCTTCTCCCTTTTAAGGCCAGCGCATTCTCTGTCCCTGTTACCTCTGCCTGGTTGTGCCACTTGTGTTGTCTCCCCTGTCTTAAACATTACTTTCTTCGCTTTCGTATTTTTTCCATGTTCTTTTTCTACTATTCCCATTTCACTCATTCTTCCTATCTTTGAAGCCAGCAGAACTTAGCTTTTATAAATACCACCATTCTTAAGTATTTCTTTTCTTTCTGAAATGGCAAATAGTAGACCCATAGTATCTGGAATCTTGGTATCATTAATTCTTTATCATTTTCATCACTGTACTTGAGTTGCTTATAAATGTTCTGGGTAGTTGGGGGTATATCAGAAACCTAAGCTTCTGATAAGTGGGATATCAGAGGAGAACAGAATTCATTCAACTAAAAGGTTAATTCTGCATGTTGTTTTATCATAAATATATTCTGAGGTCAGTTGTCAGAGCACAGAGTAGATGGCCTTTTTCTTGTATCATGTGTTGTCCACCTGGTATAATTTTGTTGGTTAGTGTTGCTCTTTCTTCTCTTTAAGTCAAGAGGTGTTGCCAAAGATTCATGAAGATAAACATTACCCTTGTACTTTGGTGGGGACTTGGAACACGTGGTATGGCGAGCAGGATCAAGCTGGTAGGAAGCAGAAGTCTTTGGAATACACTTACTCCTTAAGCCTTTACTGTAACAAACAATATTTAACTTAATGCTTGTTTTTATAATCAAAGCTTTCCAAATTTCAGTCTAGTTTTATGGTTGAAGTAATTTTCCAGTAATTCATTGTGAAAACTTACTATTTTTAATGTTTCAATCTGTTATTGAAACTTTATCATGTAACTCATAGGCCAACACATGGCACATTTCAGCTTTGTACTGTGCTAACATGCATATGTAAACTATTTTCAAGGTAAGAGTATCATGAAACTCTAAATGTATGTTATCTTTTAAAATGTATTCCAGTCCACCTCTGGAGGTATGAAGGAGGCTATCCCGCCCTCACGGAGGTCATGAGTAAACTCAGAGAAAATCAGGTAATGATTTTCAAAAATGTTTACTTATTTAAACTAATGATATAGTAGATGTTAGTACAGAATTAAATGACTATTCTGTCATCAATTTTTTTAACATTAGTAAACTGTTAGTGTTTTGTAATAAAATTTATTGTTTGAACTCTTGAAATTGTATTCAAATATAAAGTAACCAGTTGTAATACTATTAAAATAACAGTTCTTATTGTAAAACTCACTTGTACTTTGAAATTGATAAGCTGGTAAGTCAGCATGGTAGACACAGTCAGCCCTGGGTTAGCTGACACATCCCTGCTTTAGGAACCTCGGACTGACTTTGCTGTCCTGCCCCTCCCTTCACTAAGTGCATGTCAAACAGCCACACGTGGTTAGGAAAGAAAACCTTTTGTATAGTTTCCCAGTCCAAATATAAATGGCTTTTAAATTATTTGATGTTTTGTAGTCTCTACCTCTTTTAGGCTATCAAACACTGTTAGGAGAACCTAAAAAGTGGGAAATTAAATTTGTTTATATTGTCATATAAATAATTAGGATGACCATGTAGCTCATCATCTAAACCTGGACACTTGAGAAAGAAAGGGAATGCTAATAGTCGTTACGCCAGTTTAACCAGATATAAATTAGGACTGTCTCAGGCCAGGTGAGGCCCTATAATATATTCTATTATAGGAGGAACATAAATGTTACTAAAGTGGGCTTATGTATAAATGTTAGATTTCATCATCACAGTTTTTTACTCAAAGGAATTTGTGGAATTTCGGAAGGCAAGAAGCAACATGCTTCTCTCTAGGAAGAATCAGCTGCTGTTAGAATTTAGCTTCTGGAACGAGCCTGTTCCACGGTCAGGACCTAATATATATGAACTCAGATCGTACCAACTCCGAGTAAGTACTGAAATATGAGTTAACTGTCCCTCATTCTTCTGCAAAGAAGCATGAGCACCGCTTAGTGCTGACCAGAAAAGTTGAGTGTACATTCTGTGATACATGAGTATGTGTCAGGCATTATAATTTCATGGGCTTGTTTTCTCCTGTATCCAGTCCTTCTCTTATTTCCTTTTTTAAAAATCATCTTCTTAGTTTCTCATTCCTTCTCTTCTGCTAAGCTTTCTCATCGTTTATAATCTTATATATCATATGTGTTATTTGACATTTTTCCATATAGCATTTCTGTTTTTTAAGAGGAAAGACCTAAAATGTAGGACTAGGTACAATATGTAGCATCTATTGTAATTGAACTAGAGCAACTAATAAATGTGTGACTGTTGAGTAAATTGTACAGCACCGTAAGATTAAAAGGGAATAAATAATATTTTGTGAGACTTTCTAGATGTTTGTTCATTAAGTGACTACTAGAAAGAAAGTCCCAGATAGCAACATTATTAAAAGGAATACATATCAGTAGATTTCAGTGGTCTAACACTCACCATTAAACTGGAAAAAAGAAAGCAATGTCCTTATTAAGTATACTTAAATTGAATTTTTTTTTTCTAATTTCACAGTAAAGTCTGAATGGGTACCAGAGTTTAATCATGACTTAAGTCATGGGCGTAACTATGGTTGTGATAACTATAATTGAACGACTTATTATATATGTAGTCTGCCTACATGAAGCCATAGAATATTACTCCCACTATAGGTTAGGTATGAATACAATGAATAATATTTTTTGTTACATTTTTTACTTGTTACATCTCACATTATTAAAAGTTAATTTTTAAGTTAGTTTTGTCATTTGATATTTTTACACTGCTATTCCATATTTCTTCACAAAAGAACTAACAAACCAAAATTCAAATTTTTTTTCAGCCAGGAACTATGATTGAATGGGGCAATTACTGGTGAGTATATTACTAAATGGTGAGTTTGTAAGTCTTATTAATAAATATTAGGTCATAGTGTTAATTCTAGGAATAAAATCTGGGGATAATGCGATGATTTGATACTCGACTGTTGTTTTGTTTGACATTTTTATTATGAAAATTTTAAAACATATACAAAACTAGAGAGACTAATACCATGGATCTCCCCCTTACTTAGCTTCAGTAATTATCAACACGTAGCCAATCCTGCTTAGGTCTAACTCCCCCAACCCAGATGTTTGGGATGTAAATCCCAGACAACATACCATTTCATCCATAAATATTTCAGTATATCTCTCTAGGAGATAAGGACTTTTTTTTTTTTTAACAAAACCCAGTGTTGCATGAGGTTATTTCACATTTTTCTTGGACATTATGTTTTCTGAAATGTTGCTTTTGTTATGTAAACAGAGCACCACAATGATACTTAGCTACATTTTTTGTTATTTGTAGTTTAAGTAGCAAAAAAGCAGTTTTCCCCAAACCCATCTACAGATTCAACACAATCCTAATCAAAATCCTGGCTTCTCCCTTCACTCCCTTCCCCCTCTGCCTGGTAGTTTAGACCCCATGCCCAAAAACCAGTCTTTCTGCTAGCATTTTTGGCTCAATAAAACCCAAGATTAAATAAAAAGAAAAAAAATCCCAGAAGGTTTTGGAAATACAAAGGACCCCTAATAGGTAAAACGATCTTTAAAAAGAAGCACAAAGTTAGAGAACTCACACTTCTTAATTTCAAAACTGACTGCAGAAATAATATAATCAAGACAGCATGGTACTGGTGGTATAAGGACAGGCATACAGATCAATGGAACAGAATTGAAAGTCCAGAAATAAACAGTAACATATATGAGCAGTTAGGTTTCAACAATTGTACCAAAGCAGTTCAATGGGAACAGGTAGTCTTTTCAACAAAGGATGTTGAGACAACTGGTATCTTTGGAAAAAGATGAATTTAGACCCCTACCTCACTTAATATACAAAAATTAATCAAAAATGAATTGTAGGGCCGGCCGAGTAGCGCGATTGTTAAGAACTGGCTTGGGAAGCCTGAGGGCCCTGGTTCGGATCCCACATATGAGGGCCAGTGACACTGCCCTCCACAGCTAAGATGCTGAACAACAGCTCAACCTGGAGCTGGGCTGTGGTGAGTCGCCGGTGACGGCGTAGGCTGCAGCCCCTGTGGCAGTGGGTTGCCATGGGCTACCGTGTGTAGCCAACAGCCAGCGTGAGCGGCTGTCCAGAAGCCAGCGACTGATGTGCCTTGCCTGGGAAGAGCGCAATGATGGTGTCAACTGGGGCCAGTGAAGCAGCGTCCTCCACAACTAGACTGAAGAACAAAACGACAACAACTTGTCTGTTCCCCTTCCCCCAATTCCCCAGCGCTGTTCCCATCCCCCCAATTCCCCAATAAAAATCTTTAAAAAAAAATGAATTGTAGACCTAAATGTAAGAGCTAAATATAAAACTTTTAGAAGAAACATAGGAGAAAATCTTTGTCACCTAGGGTTAGGCAATGAGTCCTTAGATATAACACCAAAATCATGATCTACGAAAGAAAAAATCTGATAAAATGCAATTCATCAAAAATAAAAACTTTTGTAATTCTGGATGTATATTCAAAAGAATTCAAAGCAGCATCTCAAAAAGACATTTGCATACCCATGTTCATTGCGGCATTATTCACAGTAGCCAAAAGGTGAAAACAACCCAAATATCCATCAACAGATGAATGGATAGAGAAAGTGGGGCCTTTTGAGCTCCTCCTTTTGTTCAGCCCACACCAAACTCTTTGGAGTGTACTTTCTCTTCTAATAATGGCCCCTGAGCCATTCTCTACTGCTCGGGCCCACTTCTCTAGGGTTGTCGGAAAAGTCATGATGTATTTTTTCTATGTTTTTCAGAGGTCATTTATTTATATAAAGAACAAAAATCAATGATATATTGCCCGTTTTGTTCGATAACATTTTGCCATCTTTCAGTGAGCTTCATAAGTCCTCGTTCATAGAAGGACCTGTCTTTATTTGCAAAAAACTGAACAAGGTGCTGATTTACAGCCTCATCTGAATTGAACGTTATACCACGCAAGCAGTTTTGAAGAGAATGAGACAAGTGGAAATCTGACAGCGCAAGGTCAGGCGAGTATGGTGGGTGTGGCAACACATCCCATCCAAGCTCCTGTAATTTTTGACGGGTGATCAGACTTGTGTGTGGTCTCGCATTGTCGCGATGGAATACAACTCCTTTACAATTACCGAGCTCTGGACGTTTCTGGATGATGGATTTGTTCAAACTGTCCAATTGCCAACAGTACACATTTGAATTGATTGTTTGGTTCCTTGGTAGGAGCTCGAAAAAAACACCACCTTTAAAATCCCACCACACTGAGAGCATAACCTTCCTTTGATGAATGTCTGCTTTCGATGTCATTTGAGGTGAATCATCACGTCGGGACCAAGATCGTTTGCACAACACATTGTAAACAATCCACTTCTCATCACCAGTTATCAGTCACTTCAAGAAAGAATCGTTTTCCTCACGTTTAGTGAGCATATTGCAGATGTTTATACACACCGTCAAATGAACTTCTTTGAGTTCATGCGGAACCCAAATATCGAGCTTGCTTACATATCCCAGCTTCTTCAGGTGGTTGTGATCACTTGAATGAGAGATGTTCAATGTTTCTGCAGTCTCTCGTGTCGTGTAACGTGGGTTTGACTCGATCAATTCCTTTATTTTGTTGTCATCAACCTCGGTGGGCCTCCCTGACCGAGGAGCGTCGTTGAGAACAAAATCACCAGCACGGAATTTTGTGAACCATCGTTGGCACTGGCATTCTTATAGAGCATTGTCACCATAAACTTTATGCAACTTCTCACAAGCTTGACGTGCATTCTTCCCTTTATGGAAGTAAACAGTAAAATATGGCAAAAATGCACAGTTTGGTCTTCCATCTTCAACTTGTTGTAAAGTCTACGAAACTCAACCAAATCACTCAAATTTTTTTTGGAATGAAGCTGGAACTGTCAGCTGTCAAATGACATAGCAATAACATAGATGCGAATGACCCTAGTACTTTAAAAAATGAACTAATGCCATATGTTGCAAACATGCATCATGACTTTTCCAACAACCCAATATTTTTTTAAAAATTAGAAAGTCAGAAGCATTGAATTTGTATTTTGGCACATAGGTAACTATTGTAAGATGGTGATCTCTTCAGTACATGCTTCTGATTACTACCGGCTAAAGCAAGTAAGTTTTCTTTGCCTACTGCAACTAAATTAGAAAAATTCAGAATGAAATGAATAATCCTGATATTTGTCACTATCAATGAAAGAAGTTTTTTCCCTCTGAGTAGAATCAGAATGCACGTTAATGTGATTTGATTAATTTCAGTAACTTACCAATCAGATTTGTAATTTTTGTGAAGATATTGATCATTTCATCTTAAATGCAAAGGTTAAGGAATTTAATATCATTTGGGAGTAACCCATGCAGGCAATAGCAAGAGATCCCTCCTTGACTAGAAAAGAACCTGAAAGCTTGGGGTCCAAAGCTGAGCCAAAGTGTGCAGAGTGGCGTTAGGGAAACTGGCTTCATCACTCCCATCACAGGTTTTCCCCCTCGGAGATGTTCTGATTCAGTTGATGTGAAAATCACCTCCAGAAAGAGAATGCACTAGTCAAGCCGACTCAGGTATCGTCCCTAGAGAGTTGTCTGTCACTATAGACGTTAGTAGATTAGTATACTCATTCATATGCCTCCAGCTCTTACTTTTAAATGAATTAGAATGAATCCATCTTCCCAAGTTCTGTCAACTCGGACCCTGATATGACAGACTTCAGTCCAAAGCCTGGGCAGTGGTGATACAATTTTTTTCAACTTTGATTCTAGAAAACTGCTTTCAGGAAGATATACATTTTAAAAAACATTTTTAGGGTTTCAGATGCATCACTAAATATAAAAATAAAGTACCTGGAACAAATATGAAAGAAGGTGTTCAAATTAAAGAGCTGATAACCTTTCACAAGAGGAAATCTTAAAAAGGAAAGTTTAAGACATACCAAATTTTAAATAATTTAATCACAAATTCATGTTATACACATAGACACAACATGTATACACACTTTCTTCCACCCGTAGTACATAATGAGTGTCATTTGGTATTCTCTAATGGTTTGCTCTGGTAAAAAAAAAAAAAAAAGGCAGCTTCAGTTTGGTAGTGATGGTAGTGATGGTGTATTGCCAAAAAGCTCCACTTTTAATGGCTCTCTGTTTTACTAGAGGTTACAAAGTCCTCTTTGTAGTTCAGAGAACTCGTGTTTCTCAGAGGTCGCTGTGGCTGCTTTGAAGGTGTGCTCTCTTCATCTCTTAAATCCCATTCTCAAGGTGTCCCTGTTTCCGTGTCACATCTTGGGTGTCCTTGTATCCAGGTTCCCTCACTTTCTCACAGCATGTTTTTGGAGAAGCAATTTTTAAGTTTACTGGTTTTGTCCTCTGCCAGTTTTCTTGACTTTATGTGAAGACTCAGCAGTGCAACTGTATATCCTCATGTTTTCATTTTAATAGTCGCTAATTACTGTCCCCTTCTCACAGAAATGGCTGGCATAGTTACAGAAAGGTCCATTCACATTTTACATACATTCAAATGTTACATCTGGCAATCAAAAAAACAATTAGTCATATTCTGAAAAACTTGCTCAGTATGGAGGAAATTTTCTGATCCTTTTTAACATACCTATTCTATATCTGAACATTTTTTTTGTTACAGGGCTCGTGCAATTCGCTTCAGACAGGACAATAATGAAGCTGTTGGAGGATTCTTCTCTCAGATTGGGCAGTTATATATGGTGCATCACCTTTGGGGTATTTATATTTGTCCTTCATTTTTGTGTTACTGGAATGTCACGGCTCATCACTAAAGTTGTACTATACAGTAAAATGTATCTCAAGTCAGTAATCTTAAACACTGTTGCAAATTCAAACATCACAGATGAAAGGTAAGTACTGGACTATCTAGAACAGGAGGTCAGCAGCAAAAGCCCATAGACTCGTGGAACATGGTAAGCTGATCGTCCAAGGGGGTATAATGGTGAAAGGAATAAAAGAGGTGAAGTGAGCAGCCACGGGAGAGGGAAGATGATAAAGCTACTGAGTGCCTTTCACAGAGCGGTCCCAACCTCCCTTTCTAGATGCTTCCCATTGCTCCCTCAGAGACAGTGCTGCATTTTACTCTGAGAGACAGCTCCCGCACGCAAACTCGCGGCCTGCCTGGGTCTGGTTCCATGGTCCCAGCGGCCCTTCTCCTGCCTTTTCCATCTCTGGTGTCTTTCAGGCCTGACTCAGATGACTCCCCCTTTCCCCAATGAATGTCACTCTCCTGAGCGAAGTTGTCACAGCTGTGGCTATTTGTTTGTGTCTGTCTCCTTGCTAGAACAGGAACTGGGTCTCAGTAATAGCTTGGTGTAAATACTGCCTGAACATTCTAGGCACGTTTGTAAATGGTTATTAAAGTTTAAAAAGTATAACTTGTTTCCAGACCATATCAGTTAACTAAGGTGTTAGTTTGACCTGTTTGGTCCCACCAAGCACCACACCCTGTCTGCCTGGTGTGTTAGCCTGTCAGACTTACAAAGGTAAGGTGACCTGTCCAATGAGGGATAGAGCAAACATCAATGGCATGCCACGAGGCAGTGTGTGATCAGTACACAGGGAGTTATATTCAGGGTGCTCCTGACACTTAAAAAGATGTAAAGATACCTGTATTGGGGGGGAGATGAATAAAAGGTGGAATATTAGCTAGACTTCAGGATCTAGAAGGGATTGACATGGAAAGGTGGGAAGGAAAGGCTGGAACAATGATGGAGACAAGGGAAATTACAAGAAAGTGCTCAGAAAACTACAAATAGTTCAGACTGGCTGAGTGGTAGAATATCTGCCAGGGATCTAAATCTGGGTAAGTTGACACAAGAAAAGTGTACATTGTGTTGCTGGAACACAGCCCCCCAAACATTCGAGGTGTGGGGAGGAGACCTCCCCCACCACTCACTGCTTGGACCAGGTACTCAAGTTGGCTGCACACACAGGACTTCCCTGGTGTTTGGCACCTGTGTCTTGTGAGGCAAAGATTGAAGACCCTGCACCAAAGGACGGAGCTGCACAGGATGTCGGGGCAGCACTGACCTAGGGCTTTCTCACTAGCTGGCATTTGACCTCTTAAGTATGTGTCCCTGCCTTTTAAAAAAGATTATACTAAACCTAATTTTACCTTTAAGGGTTTGAGGTTAGGGCGAAGCAGTTTTCATTTTTTAAATAGTGGATGTTCTGTCCAGAGGATATAAACTGAAAACTCAGACCTCTTCCCACCCCCTTCTCTAAGCCTGGAGAGGCCTGAGCATGGCTTCTGCACGCACTCCCAGACATGTTCTGTAAGAGAGTGAGCACAGGGACTGATGTGCCAGGCAGAGGTCAAGCCATGCATGCGCTCCTTCCTGTCAGTGCCACACTGGTCTGGGTAGGGACACAGTGAAGGAAGCTGGGATGGCAGGCAGGCCGAGGTGAGCGCAGGGCGGAGCCCTTAGTTCAGCCCGTGGGGCGACTCAGGGCTTCACAGCAACAGCAGGACAAGCCCACCAGGGTCCTCCACACACAGGTGCAGAAGCCGGGACAGTGTGGTACGTCAGCGTCCCAAATGTTCACTCCTAACTTCATACTTTGTAGAAAAAAGTACTGAGACATGCAGAGATGGATTCTCAGTGCCTGCCTCTGAAACTTACCTCACTTTCCCACATTTTCTTAGAGAAAGAACCAGCATTTCATATTAAAGCAAAATGAATAAAAATGATGAGAAAAATTCTGTAAAAAAGAGCAGGATGGCAATATTTATCTAAGGCAAATTGGAAATTCACAGAGCATAAAATGGACTAAAAAATCATTTTATTGGGTTGTCGGAAAAGTCATGACGCATTTTTGTAACGAAAAACAGTAAAAAATGTCATGACTTTTCCGACAACCCAATAAATGATGTATGTACAGTATTTTCTAATGACTAAAATCAGTAACTTATTATATACTTTTAAAATGATGTAACCTTCAACAAATTTAATGTACAGATATAGCCACTTTTTATTTCGATTAAATGCTTAAGCACTAAGAAAAAGAACTCATATTTGCCAGGCACCTCTACTCTGTTGGTTACTTTACGCATCATTCCCTGAATCCTTGGAACCACCCACCACAGATGAGATACCGTGATTCGTAGTCAGTAATAAACCAAGCAGAACCCACAGCTATTCTGCAGCTGAGACTGGCGCAGACCTTGGCATGTCTGCCTTCCGAGCACTTGGTGCCATCCCTCCCCTACCCTCCTTGGAGCCTGGCCCCATTCATGCGTTTGCTCCACCACCACCCTGTCGGTGCCTCCTGCCCTCAGTTTATGAACAGACTCCGGTGCCTGCCATCTTTAAAAGATTCCTCAACCCAAGTGTCCATCAACGGGTGAGCAGATAAATAAAATGTGCTGTATACATATGATAGAATTTTAATCAGCCATGAAAAGGAATGAAATTCTAGTACATGCTAAATACAACATGGACGAATCTCGAAAACATTATGCTAAGTGAAATAAGCCAGACACAAAAGGAGAAATACTGTATGATTCCACTTATATATAGGTACCTAGAATAGGCAATTTCATAGAGACAGAAGGTAGAATAGAGGTGACCAGGGGATGGGGGATATGGGGAATTTTTTTCAATGGATAGTTTTAATTTGAGCTGATGAAAAAGTTTTAGAGATGGAGGTAATGATGGTGGCACAATATGAATATACTTAATGCCACTGAATTGTACATTTTAAAATGGTTAAAATAGTAAATTTTATGTGTATTTTACCCAATAAGAATTTTTAAAATAAAACTAAAAAGGACACCCCAGCCTGTGTTCCCTGCAAGGGGAGCAGCTCACCACACAGTGTACCTGTCATGTGCCTGACCTCAGTGACAATGTTGATGCTTGTCACATGAATGTTAGTGATGTTTTCCTCCCGGGGCTGAGAGGTAAAACATTTATTTTCCCTTCTATTTATCAGCATCTTCAAAACTTTATATAATAAATTATACTGTTACTATTAGAGGGAAAATTTGTCTTTAGATGGTTAAATTGCTAGGCCTACAAGAGTAGGTTTTCTCCTAGTGAGAAGGAAGTCCCAAGGGGAAAATGTGTATCCCAAAACAGAAAGAACTAAGGGAGGGATCCCTGGGTCAGTGACCTTTCAGTCTTGACTGAAACGGACACTGACACTGTCGAGATGCTTAGGAAGCATCTCCCTGGTGAGTAGTTGGAAGGGTCTTGCCCAGTTTGGGATTCAGAAACCAAGGCACCCAGGTGAGATACCTGTGAATTCTACCATATGACACCCAAGACTGATTGATACCTTTGACCATGCTGTCCCCATCACCTGGAGCACCTTTTTTCCCCATTCCTATATATTGATGATACCCTTTGCAACCTTCAAGACCCACCTGGTCAAATCACATCTCCCAGCAGTTCTTCCAGGCTCCTCTCTCTTCTTGTGGACTCTGTTCTCAAGGACACCACAGCACTCAGTAGGGACTGACTTTGCTTTTACTTGTATTTTCTTTCCACTGCATTGAACATTTCTCTCACCCGGATCTTTGTAGTGCTTTGTAAATGTGGAGCAGAATCTAATCTAATGTAACTCATCTGTGGCCTGGCAGTTTCTGGTTATGAATTTAACGTGTTATTGAAGAAGTTTGCTTCGTTTCTAAATGTATGTCTGGGATCCACTAGACCAGGGGTCTGCAAACTTTTGAGACAGAAGAGCCAATCCTGTCCCTCATAACAAGTTAAAAATTATTCGACAGCCATAAAACAAATGAAATCACCATTATGTGAATAATATCCTTTAAAAATTTTATAAATGAAACTATGATAGTTTTATTTCATTTTCAGTTTTACTTCAGAGCTACATGTACATACCCAAAGAGCCGCATGTGGCTCGCAAGCCACAGTTTGCCGATCCCTGCAATAGACTACAAAACTTAAGAGCACCTTGTTTTTTAAGAGTGGATTGTTTTGCTTCTCCCACAGGGCCTAACAGTTTTTCTCAGAATAACCAGCTCACAATTATCGCACCTTAGTACTAAATTCCCAAAGTAATCTCTGAGAAAACTAGATGAGCAGCTGAGTCAGTACTTAATGGATGTACTAGTGAGATGTACGGCATTGTATTTAGTGTAAATCTTTCTTCTGTGTGGTTATTTTTAGCTTACAAGGATCTTCAGACGAGGGAAGACATTCGGAATGCAGCATGGCATAAACATGGCTGGGAAGAATTGGTGTATTACACAGGTAACATTGTAATAGGCATAAAATATTATTCTTGTCTTACTCTTTTATGATCTTTTTCCTTGCAGCTAATATGTTGTTTTTTTAAATAGTATGTTGCTCCAGATGTAAATTATAAGTTTGTGGGGTAGGAAGAAGTCCAGTTTTTCTTTAATAGTTACATGACCTTATTCCAGTAAAAAAGAGTATTCATTCTTTCAAATATTTATGTTGTCTGGTACAGTTTTCAGACCCTTGTATGTTGTAAATTTCATGTCATTGCTTTCGTACATTTCTGCATTCTCTGAAAATTTTCAACGTAAAGTTTTTCTAAGCTTTCCCTGTCTCATCAGAATTGTTCACTCAGAGAAACACTACAATTTAATACAGCAATTAAAAAGTAATTTTGAAGTTAGGGACAGGGTTAGGGTTAAAGACAGGGTCAGGGTTATGGTTAGGTTAGGGTTAGGGCTAGGGTTAAGGTTAGAGACAGGATAAGAGTTAGGGATAGAGACAGGATAAGGGTTTTAAAAAAAAAGTAATTTTGAAAACTGATGTTTAGACTTCCTGTTTGAATTTGTATGTACCTACACATGCTTGTGTACTCACATAGATACTATGAAATCATGGTTGATTTCTGTAAGAAAACATATCAGCTGATCACAACCCCGCAATAGCAATACAGCAGTAAGTACCAACCATGTTGCATGTCACATATATTTAAGCCCATGTACTACCAAGAAAATCAAAGAGTAATTTGTTCTAGAAAGTAGGTATTTTTGTTCAAAAAGGTCATAATTGTATGTGACTTTGTTGCTTATTCTTACACTTTCATCAGTTCCCAGAGGCTAGTTTTACTCAGCAGTGAATTTTAAAGTACAATACATCTGTTCCTTTGTATAGGATAGTCAAATGCAATATTACTTGGTTTTATATAAATTTTAGTTTGTTCAAAGAACCTTTTGAGAAAGCAAATTTTTCTCACAATACAAATTTTCCTACAAATGAAACACATCTGCAGATTCTGTTTTAATAACATCTGAAAGGATGCTATCATTATTATTGTCTGTTTCTGCCCCTGAAGTCAGTCGTACATATTCCAACATTTTGTTCTGTGATTTCAAGCTCCACAGCTTCTGAACATTCTCAGCAACCTGTGTGCTAATGTGTATTTACCGTAATCTATTTAGAAAAGAGCAAGCACAGTAATCTTAATCTTATTTTCAGTTCCACTTATTCAGGAAATGGAATCCAGAATCATGATCCCACTGAAGACCTCGCCTCTCCAGTAAAGCTACAGAATTTAGATGTGCCTACTGTCACATAAATTCATGTGACAAGTATTTGTCATGAATTACTTTTAAATGTATATCAAGTGAAAATCACTGAAATGTAAACTGCTGTATATAGCTTATAAGAGACCTCTTTTCTTTAAAATTTACATAGAAGGAAACTATCAGTTTGACTGATTGTAACCATACTCTGTAGTCCTCTTTGAAACACCCGTTTGTTGAAGATACCTAAACCACCCCTCCCCACCCTCTGAGAAAAGAGGGCTCAAATTAAAATTTGAATGAGCTCTAAATAAGAATCTATCCATGAAAAGTTAGGCATTTCTTTATAAAAGCAAATCTGTTTTATACTTACAGATTTTTAGACAAATTTCTTGTATCAGGAAGAAATACGAATTTTATCATGTATCTCTAGCAGTTTTTTTGAGTCTCAGACTAGGAACAAATTATGAGTATACCCAGTTTCTGAATATGTTTTCATTCACTCTCATTTTCAGTCAGTTGGCATGGTAAACAATGTGTGTTATGGGGCCAGCCGAGTGGCTCAGTTGGTTAAGAGCTCGCTCGAGTTTGAGCTCTGAGCAACAGCGGTTCGATGCCTGGCCCGAGCTGAGCTGCCGCTGAGCTGCCAACAGGTGGCAGGATGGCTCAGCTAAAACAAAACAAAACAAAAAACAACAACAAACAAACAAAAAAATGTGTGTTACTAAGCTGGTAGTGGCTGCTAAGGTCCATTTAATCAATAATTCAGTCTTGACATAGAATGTTGTGATGTCTCCGTATGAGAGGGGAAATGGCTTGAACCTGTATGTCGTATGTGATTGTGAGATGAACACCCTGAATAGCACTACTTTTTATTTGTAATATTTTTCTGTAAAACGAGAAGCACTAGAATAAGAGGTTTTATTTTGTGAAAATCACTTGTGACCTCAGACTTTCTCCAGGTATCCATGATCATCTATGGGGGGTAGTGCATGTTGAGATTTAAATTGGCATCAAGCTGCAAATTTGTATAGCTGTTTGATTTAGTTTTTTGAGTGTGCTGATTTTGTGACTAATCATATAAACGTCCTGTTGAAATGAAAAATTATGTCTGACCCTCAAGTTAAATAATTTGTGTAAAGTGTGAATAAATCTCATATCAAATGTCAAACTCTTACATTTGAATGGTTTTCTCCAAGAACATATAAAAGTCAATAAAATCCTCTTAATTTTCACATATTATGTGTTTGCAATCTTTCTTATGAACTTGTGCTGAGAATGACCATTGCTCTTGAAAAATAGCTTGTCCAAGCACAGTGTGCATATGCGAGTCAATGGAGTAAAACACTAAATAAGCTCACCAACCTGTCCCTTGGGCCACAGCAGGGTGTTACAGTGAATGGGCCCTGGTCACCTGTGCAGTGTCACGGTGTTACGGGAAATGGGCCCTGGTCACCTGAGTACAGTGTCATGGTGTTATAGGAAATGGACCCTGGTCACCAGCACAGTGTCATGGTGTTTGGGGGTCGGGCTGCCAGCACAATAGGCTCTTAAATCCAGGTTCCTTGCCTGGAAGGCAAGCTTTTAAAGCATGTTCTGGAATTTCCCTTTCTTGGCACTAGTCAAAACAAACATGAACCTGCCTTCCAGGTCTTTCCAAGTCATCTGTAAGAAAGAAATGGTTCATATATACTATTAGGAGTTATTTTCTTAGTTCATTGAGTGCTTATCCTCTTTGGTGTTGAATCCTTAATCTATAAAATGGGAGGTTGAATCCCACGACCTTTAAGATTCCTTCAGCTCTGAATTTCTATAACTGGCTCTTCTTGGTGCTCCGGGAAGCAGTAGGTGAGGAGGAACCAGGAAGGGAGAGTGAAAAACCTCCAGGGAAATAGGAAGAAACTCAAGAAAATCGGATGCCATGAAAGCCAAGTGAAGAAAGTCCATCAAGGATGAGACTGCCTGTGCCAAATGCTGCTGCGAGGCTGGATCAGATGAAGTCTGAAAAGATCATTAATTTAGCTGCATGGTGACTTTTGACAAGAACATTGTATTCTTAAGCTAATTTATCAAATTATCACTTTATTTTAGCATTTTCTGCCAATTTGTCAAATCCTTTCATTAAACTCAGGTAGTAGAATGAATTATTTTATCCCACTATTAATTTTCACTGCCAATATTCAAAACTTCCAAATTAATTTTCCATTTATTGGGTATAACTCTGGTGAATATTACTTATATTCACCAGTATATTACTTATATAAGCCAACTCACTTTTAATTATCCTTCATGTGATATCATCCCTAGTACTTTTTTTTTTTTTTTAAAGAAATTTTATTGGGGAACAGTGTATTTTCCCAGGATCCATCAGCTCAAAGTCAAGTAGTTGTCTTCAATCTAGTTGTGGAGGGCGCAACTCAGTGGCCCATGTGGGGAACAAACCGGCAACCTTGGTGTTATGAGCTTGCACTCTTAACCACCTGAGCTAACCAGCCGCCCCCTTAATACTTTTAGAAGTCCTCTTAGAAACATACTTTGCTCTCCTCCAAACCAGCACTTGACAAAACCTGTTCATTTATCTTATTCTCACAACTGCCTGTGAAAGATCCTTTTTCAGTTCCACATTATACTTTTTTATTTATTAAATTTATACCGTATTTGCCGGCGTATAAGACGATTTTTTGGCCCTGAAAAATATGCCTCCAAGTGGGGGGGTCGTCTTATACGCCAGGTACACTTCAGATAGACTGCCCATAGTGCTTGCCCCGTGCCATAGTGGCCTCCCGATGCCCGCCCACTTCATTCCACATACCGTTCAGGCATCAGCAGCGCTGCTGGGTGTATGCTCGGCTGTTATGCGATTTTGCTGTTATGCGATTTTACCACACTCGCAAAATCGCACACAGCCGACCATACACCCAGTATGATAGCGCAAAATCGCGAATCGCGATACCATACTGGGTGTATGGTCGGCTGTGTGCGATTTTGCGAGTGTGGTAATTCGGGTTACCGTATATTTCTTTACATATGCATTGAAGATTCGCGATTTTGCGCTATAATGGTGCCTGTTAGAATGTTGAAGAGCTCGCACTTGCGCACTAGTGAGGTCCCAGGGAGATGCTGATGCAAGGGTGGACCAGACTGCTATAGTGACAGGGCGGGCAAACAGGGAGCAGGGACCAATCAAATCAGGCTTTGTATACAGCCAACAGCCAACCACAATACTGCACCATTGTACAGTACAGCATAGAAAACGTCGACCAGTCAAACCCCTATCATCCCTATCATGGCACCAGCCAAAAGAAAGAAGTATGATGCAAATTTTAAACTGAAAGTTATAAACTTTGCTAAGGAAAATAATAATTGTGCTGCTGCAAGACAATATGGAGTAACAGAAAAGATGGTTCGGGACTGGAAATCAAATGAGAAAGCATTAAAGAGTATGCCAAGGCGTAAGTGTGCATTAAGAAGAGGCACCCCACACTGGCCAGAACTCGAAAAACATGTAGCAGACATGGTGGCTCAACATCGCCAAAACGGTTATGTGGTGACACGAAATACAATACGCTTGTTTGCACTTCAGTGGGCCAAATCAAATCTGATATTGTTTTACCTTTTATTTGGTGTGTGGAAGGTGTGTGGAAGAGGGGGTAGTCTTATACGGCGAGTATATAACAAACTCTGTATTTTGAGTGGAAATGTTAGGGGGTCGTCTTATACGCCCAGTCGTCTTATACGCCGGCAAATACGGTAGTTTGTTTCTGGCTGGGATGTAGTAGATGTTCAGTAATATGCCTGATGAATCCATGGAAGGAAGAAAGGGGAAAGTAAAAGAAGTAGAGAGGGAGAAAGGGAAGGAAGGAAAAGAAAGTATGGAGACTGTCAATTCTAATTAGAAAATACATGGGACTCAGAAAGCAGGGCAGTGTCCTTATTCATACCATTTTTTATTCAAGTTCTAGAAATCCTTGTAATAAGCTCAGTAAAAACAATTCAAAAGGAAGACAACAAACAGAAATATGTTCAGGATTGGAAACATATCAGCAAAGTACTGAACAATCCTCTAATACTAAAATCCATCCTTTGGCCAGAATTCAGTGAACATTAAATATGAAACCACTTGAATTTTTTGCAAAACAACTTGCATCCTAGGAAGTAAAATTTCATCTGTATTAATATATTCTAACACTTGTGATCTGTGTTAATAAGAAGTATTAGCTTAGAGTAGGTTCTCCTGGTTCTATTAATGCAGATAAAGAATGTTGTGGAAATCACTGGCCTGGGTTCCAGCTCTGAATGTGACCAAATAGCAGTCATTAACTATGAAAATAAGCAGTGTGACCTGTGGTCAGTTCACTCCCCAAGTTTTCTGAACCAATCATAAAGATACTGAGGGTCACAGAGGCAAAAGCCATCTCTTACTGAAGCCGACCACTTGAATCTCTGACTATACTCCTGCCCCAGGTCTGGAATGCTGCCCCTGCCCTTGGGAGTGGTAGCTGGGCAGGCCTCCCTAGACGTCATGGAGAAACACTTGTATACAGTAGAAGAGAGAGAGAAGAATCATAGCAGCAGTCATACCAAAGGAGATAGGGGTGGGAGTGGGGAATGAAAGCCATAGGGTTGTCTTTTTTTTTTTCTTGTTTTTAAGCATATAAAAGTTGAGGGACTTCTGTTTCAACTTAATGCCATGACAAAGTTCAATTCTTAACTTTACGTCTCCCATTCTTAACTTTTTTTGTTTACATAAGCAGTGTTCATGGTCAGCATGAAAAAATGGTATCACAAGGATAGGAAACCATGTAACACTGCCACCACTTTCTAAATCCCATCCTATTTTAGCAGCATACATAACTCTTGGGAGAGCCGTTCTGTAGCTGTTTCCAAGTGAGTCCAGAATTAGAAAAGCATGAAAGAAGTGAGCACAGTTGCTGCATCATTTCAAACTCACTCCTCCAACACAACAAAGAAGGGATTGTGAATGCTGCTTCTGTGCAGCTTGCTGGGAGCTGGGGAGCCTGTGGACCAGAGGAGGGGTTGTATAATGGGTATAAAAGGCTATATGTGGGTATCAAGATTTCTCTGCAGATTAGACTCCTCAGATCCAAATCCAGTGTACACCTCCTGTTCAAGCCATTGCCCGAGGACGGCAGGCTCTGATGGGCCAACAGCTGCTCAGTCCTCTGCCTACCTGCCCACCTGCCCGGGGAAGTCTTGCTCCAGCTTGTGCACACTGTGGGATGGCAAAGGCTGAGGCAGTTTGCAGTGCGCCTTACAGACCTGGCATGCCTGGTCCTGCCCAGAGCTTGGCAGTGCTGAAAGTACAAATGCCACAAAACAGCCTCTTGGAGAGCAGCCAAGCAGCATTTATAATTAGGAAACAACTGCCTCGTTGTTTGTCATCTCGTTTAAATGTTGCCAAACTTATTTCATGTCTTGCCTACAGAAATTATGATTTTGAAGGAAATTTGATTCATCTGATTTGATTATTGGCTAAATAATTATCTGATTATTTGGCCAAATTTGATTATTTGGTTAAATTATACATTTTTCAAATAATTTCCAATATTAAACCCTTCAAGCTTCTTCTACTTAATTATCCATCAGCATCCACTGCATGCCTCTTCCTAAACACTTGTCTTTATCCTCCCCGAGTTTTCCACGAGGGAGGATATATAATCTCATAATTTTAAAGCATGTTCTGGAATTTCCCTTTCTTGGCACTGCTCAGAACAAACATGAACCTGGCTCCCAGGTCTTTCCAAGTCATCTGTAAGAAATAATGGTTCATTATGCTATTAGGAGTTATTTCTTAATTCATTTAGGGGAGAGAGCTCCCTGTGAGCCTCCTCCTTAATTCGAGAAGAGTAAAACTTGTTTTTAGTTCTTTTACTTCACGTGATTATCAAATATCCCTTTTTTTAAGGTCAGAAATTTTGTTTAAGGCTCCACTGTTATTTTTTTAAAAACCTATGTAACAATTCCCTATAGGAAAAATTCCAAGGGGTAATAAAATCACTTCCATCTTTCTGGCCCAGAACTTCACTCAGTAGGGGCCGAGTGGGGGTACATTGTGACAAGCACTCTGCCCTGTGCTCAGAGGGGGCTCCACTTCACCTTGGTTCCTTGCCTCAAGGTTGTTAGTGAACACATCAAGTACTTGAAATACTGGACACTGAAATGCAGGATTGGCAGAATTTAAAGTTCCACAAATCTGTTCTGACACATGGATAAACTTTTATTTATATATACCAGAGGGAAAACAAATATTCACTTAAAGCTGCCTAATCCATATTTCTAATAGTGAGGTGTTTAATTTACTATCCACCTTTAAAAAGTTGCAAATAAAATAAAGCTAGGAAAATACATAAAGAATTCAGATTATAAAACTCTCCAGGTAATTAATGGTCATAATAATACTGGAACTACAGTATAGAAAAGTGATTTTCTAGAAGGCCGAACTGTAGTTTATTTGAAAGTACAGATAATCAGTACCAAATTTATTCAGTTGTAATAGGCAATTGGAAGCAAACAGTATTAAACTGTATAACTTTTAAAAGTTAACCTGAAGTTGTTATGAACTATATAAAAATTGATTATTCTTCCAGCTCTCCCAAAAGCTCTACAAAATCAGTGATGTACCATTCTGCATTGTCCTTTACTTGTTGCCTGATCACATTTCCTCCAAATCCGATGAAAATATCCTAAGAAGGGGGATAAAAAAGGGAAATAGGTTTTTTTGTGGTTTGTTTTTTTTAAAAAGATACAGTAGCAGCCTAGGGTATTAAGTGCTGTGTGGAAGAATAAACTGTTTGTGCAGACAGGTGAGCCCCGCCTCACTGGGGAGCTCCCGCTGGTGAATGAGTCAAGTGTGCTACCTGCACATCCATTCACCTGGACATGTGGGTGTCAAAAGCATCGAAGCCCTCCTAAAACCAGGACAATTGCTTACAAAAAGAAAATCACTATGCAGTAAATGTGTGCATTCTAAACTGTACAGCATTTATATCCAGTCCAGGAACTTCCAGAGGGAAGATCAGAGAAGCCTATGGGGCAGCAGACCTCTGCAGGACTAGAATCAGGGCTGAGCAGCACCCCTATGGTGCCCTTCATGGATCTGGGCCTCTCTCCCTGGGGTTTGTGTTATCCTGGGTTGAAGAGAGGACCACCCCAATACCTGATGACAGCACTCTACTTCTCATCATGGAAACTGTTTAAAATAACATTGTTTTCTAAATTTCTATTAAATGATACCTTCTTATACTCAGTAATCTTGGGTTTGTTTTGCTTATAAACAACAGAAATTTATTTCTCACATGTCACAAAGGCTGGAAATCTGAGATCAGGGTGTCAGCATGATCGGGTAAAAGCCCTCTCCCAAGTCTTTTAAAATGGTATTTTCTCTTTTTCTGCCAAGATATAGACACGATATACACTAATTTGGAAGTACAAAATTCTCTTTTGTGCCCTTTGTCTTCATTTTTTCATACCACACAAGAAGGAAACATATAACTAGATTCTTACCTTCTAGGGAAATTTAGACTCCTAACTGAGCTTCCTGCCTCTGTGGCAGCCCTCTCAGCACCAACTCAGTTGTCCTGACATACTGACTCATTCTTTGTCTCTCCAGAAGATGACCTAAAGGTTAACACCAAAGTGCCCAGGGAAGTGTGGGGTCTTCAGCGGTTGCTTCTGCCCACTCCCGCTGGCCCTTGCCCACTAACCAACCCAGGACTATGGCTCATACATCCCACAGCCCTCCCTCTGGAAACTGCCCCCCTAAGCCCTGCTAGGCCTTCATGGGATGGCTGCTAAACTTCCTTTAGGTCATAGGTTTCTCTGACAACATTCCAAGGGCCACATGCCTGCATGCATGGCACTATCTCTTGGTTCAGTCAGGCTATTTAAAATTTTGGAATATAATTATAAATTATATTTTGGAATTTATAATTTTGTTATATCTTGGCAATGGGATTGGGAGCTCCCTAAGAGAGCTCTGCGTTTTGGGTCTACGTACTCCTCATTAAACCAGCCCAGTGCCGTTACTTAGTCAGCCCCAGTGTTGGTTGTGAATCATCTGAAAATGTGTTATCTTAAACTGACGCAAGTAATGTTAAAAGGATCCCAAAAGAATCTTTAACCACTTTTGATTAATATTTACAAAGGCAATTACTGTTTTTAAATCTCAGGAAGCTAGTTGTAAAAAAAGTTCACCAGTATATTTTTGGTTCAGTTTTTCTTAAGTTAGAAGGAGCTGATAGAGGCAAAGTCCTATGTGAGGTGGACACATTTGATATTTAGGACACTTGCTGTATAGCATTTGTGTCTGCTAGTGGCAGAAAATAACATTCATTGTGAAGAATAAAATGTTCTAATATAGGCGTGTTATCAAACCTCCATTAGCCTCAGCTTCTCAGTGTAAAAAGGAGATAATACTTTAATCTAGCAGGGCTGTTATGAGGATTAAATGAGATAATGTATGAGGAAATAGTTTATCAAATATAAAATGACATTAAAATTCTGGTTAGTTATAAGAGCTGTACTATTATTATCTGTGGTAGTATTTGAGGAAATGAAGACAAACCTTGTGAGCACATACTTTGGCTAAGAGGTGGCCATACTTCAGGAACAACGTGTTGTTGAAAGTTTTAAAAGGTTTTTAATTCCTTACTTGTAAAATGTGGGGTTTATAAAAAGTTAACTTGATACATTGAGATTGAATTTATTTACAGTTTTTTTATCTTACAGTGATATTTAGATTTTTTTTGTTTAACTCTTCATAAATCTTACTAAATTCTAAAGCAGCTGTCTAAAACACAGGTATAACTGGAAAAAAATTAGTATGTTTAATACATACAGCAGGAGGACAGGCTTCCATGTCTGTGGCTCCATCTCCAATCATGACGATTTTCTTAAAATGAAATTTTTCCTTTAAAAGTTTAATAACTTTTCCTTTCCCACCAGATTCAGCTGTTGGCTGCATCTCATCAAAACCTGCATATTCACCTTAGAAGAGTAGTTAAAGCAGTGTTAAAGAAAGATCCACAGAATTAGAACAGTAGGGTCAGCTTTTTGCATAGATAATACTTCACTTAAGTGTCCCTGAGAAAACTAGAAATGGCCCTCAGTAAAGTGACAAAGCCTGGACTTCCACACCTATTCCTCAGAATAAACAAGCTTTGCTTTTAAATTACAAATTCAAGGTTACTCCTTTAGGTCATAAACACTTTGGGGTAAACTAGTTTTATCCTCTAAGCTTCCAGTATAGTAACTCTCAAACATTGTTAAGGTGGCAGAACACCGTGAAACAGTAATATATGAAATTTCAAATAATATGTAATGTCATCTAAGAGGAGATTCCAACTTATATTTGATCAATTATTTTCATTCTTATAATAATTACCACACTCATTCTCTACTTCTTTTTTTAATGATCTTTACCTATAGACCATTCAAAAGTGTTCTATTAACACATTTAAAATTTTTTAATTAATATTACTTGGTTTTTAAGAATGTCAGCCACGTGTTGACGTAACTGGAGACAACTTGAGATAATAGAAAACGACAGCTGTGGTTCTGTGATGGTTGTGAAAGGGGCCAGGAGGCACCTCCAAAGGCAGTTACAGTGCAGTGACTTGCTAACAAATTAACTCTCCCTCCTGAGTCTAAATCAGTTCCAATACACGAGAGGTCTCATAAAACTGAAATATAACGCATAACAAAATAAGTCATGTAAGTTATGTAGAAACTAACATTTTACTATGTGCAGACATTTACATACAGATAGAGTCTATGGATACTAAAGCTAGAAGAAATGATGACGTAAGTCTATTTTGCAGAGCAAAGGATACCAAGGCACAAAAGAGATCAGTCAAGAGAATGTTATCTCAATATTTAACCCTGATGCCTCCTTGCTTAAGCTGCATTCCAAGAGACATTACTTAGGATATTGAAAACTAAAACTGATATGAAATGGAAAATATTACCATTAAAGCCTTACCATTAAAGTAGAATTTCAGCCTATTAGCAAATACATTGGTTGATGGGATATTGAGCTTTGAAGCGACATGCTCTACAATGCTCCTAAAGCCACCAGATATCAGGAAAACCTGAACATTTTGCTCTTGTAGGCGACTTACTAGCTTCCTGCAAAAAATATAAAAATAAAAATAAAAAAATAAAAAAATATAATATATATATATATATATATATATATATATATATATATAAAATACCAAACACTGATTAATACAAAAGATAAAACATGAAACATGAAAAGGAAACTAAAATATAAATATATTTTTTCTCCTGAATGCATTTGCCCAAGGTACATTGGACAAGGTACTGTGCTGGTGAATAATGTTTTATTTATGTTTTTCTAAATGTACTTATAAATTAATGGATGGGGCTTGAGTGCTTTAGGAAACCATTCCACAACTCTGTTCTGCCCTTAGATAGACCTAGAAACACAGATGAAGAGGAGGCTTCGGCTCTCTTCTAGGGAGAAAGGGAAGGCAGAATGGGCAGGATCAACCAGCCAGACAAGAACTTATATAAGTACCAAAAGAACCACACAGAAGGGAGCACAAAAGTAATGGTGAGATACTCTCGGGAGAACATCCCCCAAAGTGCAGGTGCTAACAGGGAGACAACAGACCCAGATCGAGGCTCCTCTTACCTTATGCCAGGGGTCAGGTGTGGGGGGTGTTCTGCTATGAGCCTCTGCACCTGCTCTCTGGAGGGCCGGATCAGAGCTAAGCGCTCTGTGAGGGCAGCCTTGAATGGCACTGACCCGCCCATGGCTCGTCGAGTCCTAGGAGAAAGACCTAACAATCAGGCCAGAACATCAGCTATTCTTGAAACCTAATGCCTAACCTCCCCAACTCCTCACAACACCCACCCACGAGCAAGGTGCTGCCTAGAGCCCCATGTACAAAAGACAAGCTATGATCCTATAGGAGCAAGGCCTAAGAATAAACTATTGAAGGTTTGCTTGAGAAGCACATTAATATTTCAGGGCCATGTTTGTATTAAATACAGCTGAACATGAAATGGTCCATGACCTGGTGACTGCCACATACATGAAAGAGGGTAGGAAGGCAGGAGGGGCTCTCATCCAGGCATCCACTGTCTCTGAACCAAAACTAGCTTTCCAGAAAACCACTAAGGCTATACTTTTATCCATGACACAAAGCACTGGACACTTGGAGAACCCACTCAGGTCATCTTCTTCAGTTAGTGACAGTCATTGTTCCCCTAATAAAGCTAAGAGAGTATCCTATCCATATTTGTTTGTCAGAGCAACTTTTTTTTTGCCATAAATATTTGTATAAATGATTAGATAATGTACACTACCAAATTCTGCTCTAAGTGATGAAAGAAAAAGCCTAGTGCCCATGTTTCATAACCAGGGACTAAAATCAGGGCATTATGGCTCTGAGCCTGCGTGTCATCCAAAAGTCACTCTCTTTTGCAATTCTTAATCATTTCATAAAGTGAATATATACTGTTCCTACATTTCTGACACAGCATCCTCAACTCCACAGACTTTGGCCAGCTCATCAATTCCTTCTTCTCTGATGACTGTGCTATCAACATCAAAGCATACTGCGTCAGCTGAATAGAAGAGTTTCCTCAACTCTGAGTGGGAGACCATCCTTAGAAGAATTTTCCTCCTACAACAAAAAAGATAAGTATATTTAAAGACATAAAATATAATCATAAAAGGTCTAATTTTGCCTGCTAATGCCAAAGCACTTTGATTTGTATCAAAGTCAGTGCAGCCCACATAAGCACGTACTCATGGACTCATTCCCTTTTAAACACAAATTAAGCACCTTCTAAATGTCAGGCTCTGGGGTTACAAAGATGAGTGGGACCCAAACCCTGTTTTTAGGAACTCAGTCTAGTAAAGGTAACAATTTGTAAATATATTTGATGTTCAACCAGTATGCAACTGTTTCTGACCTAATAAGGCTAGTACTAAAATAGAAATGTACATAAGATACTATGGGCACACACACAAAAAATGCTTAATCTTGTCTATGAAACATGCCTTCCAGGAGGCACAGGCATTTGAGCTGAATGTTGAAGGGCATGTGACCCTGAGAGGGTTCTCAAAGGGCAGAGTATCAATTTGTATCTGCTGGAAGTGGGAAGGAGGGAGATGGAGGCCAGGAAAGAGGGTGGTGATGGCAGAGGGAAGGCTTGGCCAGAGGCAAGGAGAAAGAATGATGGAGACTGTGCTGGAAGATGCCAAGTGGCTCAGCCCAGCCACCGAGCAGTGCATGAGGAGTTCAGATCAAGTGGGGCCTCAGGCCAGGCTAAGGAGTTTGGATTTTAACTTCCAGGTAATGGGAAATCTTAAAAGCTTTTATGCCTCAGAAGAGAGGTCAGAGTTAAACGTACACGCTTGTTAGTCATCAGTGTAGAGGTGGTAACTGAAGGCATGGCCTGATGAAAGTCACCAGAGTAGGGGAGGTGGGGGGGTGGGTAAGAGGGCTGAGGACAGAGCCCGTAGGAATGGAAGCTTCAAATCAGGAGCCTGGGAAGTAAAATGAAAAGAAGAGGTCACAGGAAGATACTCTGGGAGGCCATGGTGCTGCAGAAGCTATGGAGGACAGAGTTTCAAAAAGAATTTTGAGGTTTTTTTATTTTTTAAGAAAATCATTGGACTAATGATGGGGGTGAATGGGATCCTAGAGGTTGCTTAGACCAGCCTCCCATCAAAGAGATTAATATGTTATAAACAAGGCCACAGGGATGATGCAAATAATCTATATTTAGAATAAACATCAGCTGAAAATAGACTCTAAGGAGCTGACCAACCCACTTCGTAACTCATTTCTAACCAATGCATTTGGCAGAATGATCCAGTTCAAAGTTGACCTGAAAAAAAAAAAATGTCTTTTAAGCCAGGGGTTAGCAAACTACAGCCAGTAGACAAATCCAGCCTGCCACATATTTTTGTATAACCTATGAAGTAAGAATGACTTTTACATTTTAAATAGTTTTAAAAAAAAGTCAATAGAAGAATAACATTTTGTGACATGTAACCTAAAAATAAAAGGTCAAAGTGAGAGGCAACAAGCATTTATTTGAGATCCAAAAGAACAGCTATTCTGGAAGCTTCTTCAGAAAGAAGCCCAAATAGTGTTCTGATTAGGAGAAGTCAAGGAATATTTATGAAAAAGGGAAGGGGAACAACTACATCAATAAAAGGAAGGAACTTCTATAGGAGCAGATGAGCTAACAGGGTGATGCTGATTCTAAAGAATGTTTTTAATTTTCAGTCCAGTAGTCATCAGTCCCAGTAGTCACAATATCTTGTTTCTCGTTATCTTTGCAAACAGTTGTTTGGGATACAATGCTGCTTTAGGCCCAGTCCAAAGGTTATTTTGCCCTGTTTTAACATTACAAATGTTTGACTCATAAGAGAGTTCCTAGGGATGGCAGTTCCAACTCCATTTTAAAGTGGCTCCATTTATATTCTCTATTTACAAACACAAAAAAATTATATAAAATTCAAAATTCAGTGTCCATAAATAAAGTTTTATTGGAATATAGCCATGTTCATTTGTTTACATGTCTATAGCTGCTTACAACAGATAAGTTGAGTAGTTGCAACAAAGACTGTATGACCTGCAAAGCCTAAAATATTTACTATCTGGCCCTTCACAGAAAAAAATTGCTGACCTTACAAGAGTTTTCCAAATAGGAAACATGAGTTTAATTGGAGACCCACTAAAGGAGAAAGGGAGGGTAAATTAATGAATCCAATTAGTTGAATCTTAAATGCTGCAGTAACATTATCAACCTAAATGTGAATGACGCTTCAACAGAAAACCATATTTAAAAAAAAAAAATGAATACAATACACATTTTATTGGTTATCTACAAACTGTTTTTTCCCTACCATCATGCTCTTGTTCAAGCTGAATCCTCACCTTAGAGGGCTGGGTTCCTTTGTTCGCATATTGTCCCCTCTGTTGAGACTGAGCTCATTGCTGATTGGTTTGCTTCTGTTCTCTTAATGTTGCAATGACTCACGGTCCATCCTTGATCTTCTCTACCTATATTCACTCCCTTGATGAATTCATCAAGGCTCAGGGCTTTAAATGCCATCTATAACAGTAACTCCCAAATGTATACCTTGTAGTCCAGTCTCTCTCCCAAACTGTAAACTCCAAAAACCTACCTGAGCTCCACTCAGGTGTTCAGTAAACATTACAAATTTAACATGCCCAACACTGAACTTATGATCATCCCTTCCCCTAAAAAACTGCCATTCATGTAGCGTTACTTCTCTCCCGTAATGGCGAGTCCATTCTTCAGTCACCTTAGACATTTCTCTTTCTCTCAAATCCCACATTCAATTTTTCTGGAAATTCTGTTGCCTCTACCTTTAAAATCTAACCAAAACCTGACTACTTCTCATCACTTCCACCGTTACCACTCTGGCCTGAGTCGCCAATGTTTCTTGCCTAGATTGTACCAACAGCCTCCTAAAAGATCCAGAGACAGGAAGGCAACTTCCTACTGTTAACTCAGTCAGGTTGAACAGACAGGAGCCAGCTGCCAATACTTACATAAGTTCCCCAAGGACACTCACCCTAGGGAGACCAACCAACATTAAAGACCCCAAGGTTGCTAACCATAGGATCCCCTTACAAGGGCCAGGAGCTTTCTCTTTGGCTCCGCCTGTGCAGTCAGGCTCAGAGGTGCCCATGGTGTGACACTTTCTTCATTTTAATGCTAAAAATCACACCCAGGGGTGAAGATTTAACATTGCTAATGAGACATAGGATGCACAAAGAAGCATAGAGCCACAATGCACAGGTGCCAGGAAACCTGCCTTAATATGCCTAGACACAGTTCTCTTCCCACCTAGCTCCCTTTAAAAATCCTGTCTCAGGGCGGGCCGAGTGGCGCATTGGTTAAGAGCTGGTTTGGTACGCCAGCTCTGAGCAGCAGGGCCCCTGTTTGGATCCCACATGAGGGCCAGTGACTCTGCACCCTCTATAGCTAAGATGATGAACAACAGCTTGACCTGAAGCTGGGCTGCCGTGTGTTGCCAGTGACGGCGTAGGCTGCAGTGGGCCGTGGTAAAACCACTGTGATTGGCCGGTAGCCAACATGAGCTGCCAAGAGCCGCCGTGAACAGCCGTCCAGTGGCTGGCGACCGATCTACCTCACCCGGGAAGAGCGCAATGATAATACCAACATGGGCCAGTGAAGCGACGTCCTCCACAACTAGACTGAAGAACAAAAGGACAGCAACTTGTCTGTTCCCCTTCCCCGATTCCCGAATGCTGTTTCCCTCCCCCAATTCCTCAATAAAATCTTAAAAAAAAAAAATCCTGTCTCAGCCTCCCTCAGGAAACTGCCCATTTATTCCTTTTCCTGGTGCTAGTTTTCTTGTGCACAAGCTTAATAAAACTTTCTATTTGCCTGCATTGCTGTCTGGTGATCTCTCTTGATTTCCATCCTGGAAGATTGCAAGGAGCTAAAGGTACCGGTAACAGTCCCCAACCCTAGTATTTGTTCTCAACAGCCAGAGTAATCATTGCAAACTAAGGCAAATCATGTCACTGCTAGCTCAAAATCCTCCAATGGCTCCTCATTTTACTAAAAGTAAAAGCACAAGTTCTCACAATTACCTATAAGGTCTGCCCCCAACCCTAGCACAATCACCACTGCCAACACCGCCACCACAACGCTCTCTCCCCATTACATGTCTTACCGTAATTCCTACTCCTCATCCCTCTGCTCACATGGCCCCAACATCGCTGATACTCTTGCTGCTCTGCCAAACACACCAGGCAGCTGGTGTGCCCTTGGTGGGGATGATCTTTACTCAGATAGCCACTCAGCCAACTCTCTCATTCAGAATTTGTCCAAATATCACCTTCTTCAGTGAGCCAACCCTGAGCCCCCCATTTATCACTGCAATTTCCCCCTCCCTATCATTATCCCCAACATTACTAATCTCCCTCATTATGCTGTACTTTTCTTTTTTTTTGGAACATCTATCATCTCCTAATATATGATAAAATGTACTTATGTTTATGATGTATCTGTCCTCATTAGGATGTAAATGTCACAAGAATATGTATGAGCTTTTATCAGCTTTGTTCACTGCTGGATCCTTAAGACTGAGAACAACACTACCTGGCACACAGTAGGGCTCAATATTTGTTGAATTAAATGAATGAATAAAGCTCAAATGTCATCTTCATTCCCTACCCCCAGAACTCTCACAGTACATTATGTAGGCTGTTTTTAATATATGCAATTCATCATATTCCAACCTATCTTAAACTTATTTATGTGCATGTCGCTGTAGCAGTGGGCCCTAGACAAAGGCTTTCCTGGACCACGTGGCTACTAAGGATTCTGCGCTGTAGCAGGGAGCTTCAGACAAAGACATTCCTAGACTGCATGGCCATTAAGACTTTCGTGTCTAATATTTCTGAATTCCTACCTCACCCGGGAGCCAGTCAGGAACCGGCGCAATGGCCACATGTCCTAATAATAAATCTTAGCTGCCAACCTGGAAACCTCAGGGTATATAGCCCCGAGTCCCACCCGGGTCGGGGCTCAGCCTCTGGATGTAAATCCGCTGAGCCAGGGCCGGCATCAATAAATGTTGCTTCCCGAGCCTTGGTGTCCTGTCTCTCTGTCTGAATTTCCCGCAACATCACCTTCAATACTGGATTGCAAACTGTTTAAGATCCAAAATTGTCCAAAATGCCTACTTTGAGCCTCTTTTCAGCAGAGGCTCAATTATTTTCTGAGGGTTGAATGAATAAACCAAATGATGTAATTGTGAATTACATACCCACAATTAACCATTTCTTAACTTTTCATTGTGGAAAATTTCAAATACATACAAAAATACATACATGAGAACTCCATATATTCATCATCCTGCTTCAATAATTGTAACAAATTCTGCTTCATCAACAACTCCACTAAAAAGGGTTTTGTACCCATTCCAACATGGGGGGAGGGGTGGTTCCCACACATCCAAGAATTGCTTGGATGTCCTAAAATTCAACTCAATTCGGACACTATCTGTCCAGAGACAACATCAGATTCCACGGGTTTAGGGTTCAGTCCCACAAGGCTGACACCCCCCTACCCCCACCCCCTAACCCCCCAACACACACACACACACACACACACACACACACACTTCAGATGCCAATCGCAAGTCCAGGTTGTCACCTGTTCTGACAGATCTGCTGTAGACTGGAGGTCCCAACACCCCTTCCTTGGGTTCAATTAATTTGTTATAGTGGCTCACAGAACTCAGAGATACATTTTACTTACTAGATTAGTGGTTTATTATAAAAGGATACAACTCAGGAACAGCCAGGTGGAAGAGATTCACAGGGGAAGGTATGTAGGAAGGGCGCAGGGCTCCCATGCCCTCTCCAGGCACAACATTGTCCAACCCCAAGCTCTCCGAACCCAGCCCTTTTGGGGTTTTATGGATGCTTCATTAATCAAAGGCACGATTGATTAAATCATTGGCCACTGAAGACCAAACCCAACCTCCAGACCCTCTCCCTTCCCCAGAAGTTGGGGGTCAGGGACTGAAAGTTCCAAACCTCTAATCACATGGTTTGTTCTCTAGGCAAACAGCCCCTGACCTTAGATACAGTCCAAAAGTCACCTCATTAACATAACAAGAGACACCTTTCAGTCCCATCACAGAAAATCCCAAGGGTTATAGGAGTTCTGTGCCAGAAATGAGGACAAAGGCCAAATATTTGTTTCTTAATATAAATATAAATCACAATCTCACAACCACACATGTCCACCTTGATGAGACAAGTAAAGAGTTAACGGAAGTGGGCTTATGAGCTGGCAGGATGGGACACGCAAGGAGTTAACAGGAACAAGCTTAAACATTAACCACTTGGCTCTGACCCTCCTGGCTAGCACTGCACCTGCAGGTTGACAAGCACCTTACATCCATCATAGGTGAGAACAAAACAGTTCCCAATCGCAATAGCAACCCCCTGCACACTAACTAACAAACACCCATCATAGATGGGAACAGAACGGTTCCCAATCACAACAGTAACCCCCTACAAACTGACATCCATCATAGATGGGAACAGGACAGTTCCCAGGAAAAAACAATTGTAATGGTAGCCCCCCTGCAAGCTGACAAGCACCCGACATCCTGCTTAGAAAAATATAAAACTCCAGCACTCCTTCTCATCAGGGCAGTTGTCTCGCATCAGACTATGCCCTGGCACAACTCCTGCCAGTATCTCTCTCTTATCCCTCTGTCTCTGCAGCTCTCCCTCTCAAACTGCCCTGACAAAACTTCTGCCTGTTCCAAACAGAACTCTCACTCTCCCTTTTCGACTTTCAATAAATCTTTTCTCTGTATATTCTTGTAGAGTCTCGTAAATTCTTTTATATTCTGCCAACGACCAGGGGTTAATTCTACACCAAGACACACCTTCCTTCATTATCTCAAAGCAAATCATATCATCTCATACAAAAATATTTCAGTATATATTTCTAAAAGGTAAAGACTTTTTCTTTTTAACATGGCCATTTGCATTTTATTGACACTACTGTACCTGCCTGTACTCAGGTTTGGTTGCTGAGGATTCTAGAATCAAATCAGGTTAAGACTTAATCATATCAGATCTTAGAATGCCCTGGCTAATCCATTCCCCATCATGAGCATATACATTAGTATAATGTCTCTGTTATTCAATTACTTTATGCCCTTCATGATTTGGAGCCTGTTTCACCAACCTATTCCCCACTGCTCTTCTCTCCTGACAAATACACTATGGATGAAAAAGGGGCCACATACTAAACCTAACAACCTCAGGGGAGGCCTGCACAGCTAGCCTTACAAACTCAGAGACCAAAATTCACCACACAGAATGGTATGAACATAGAAATTCCTAACTAAAAGCAGGTCAAGGTGGGTAGTAACATCCTTGGCCTGTAGCTTCCTTGACAAAGGTCAATCTTTACTTTATGTGAGCCTATCTATTGTCTTTTTGCATCTAAGATAACATCTTTGGAATGTCACAGTAATCCCTTTTTCCAGACCCCCTCAGGGCACAACCCACCACACCAGAGCAGGAAACTATAGAATCCCTCATTATTATTCTTGTCCCCTGATTACCATTTTTATGTGCAGTAAAAAGTGAACTATTAACTATCCTGTACCCACCTATGTGAAAGTACCTGTCTCTCAATTTTACTTTTATCCAATCCCAGAGATCCCGCTTTGCTTTCTCCCACCTCTTTAACCTACCACCAGTGGATTTCATGTAATCCTCTTCCTTTGATTCTACATAGAAAATAATCGGCAAAACCACCATTTCCTGGAGCATTTTCTCAATCTGTTGACATTTTGCTTCCTGGCAATTATTGTCAGTTTGGCTGGAATAAACTTTTACAGGCTTTCTCTTAGGCTGAATGTTTTTTTTTCATCAACATTGGGAAGGCGCCAACTCGATAAATCTTTCCTTATTCCAAACTCTGATCTATTGAATATTAAATATTTGATGTACTGACCACACGGGCCTTTAGACTGCAACAACTATACAGAATCAGCATCATCATGTATTCTGAAGTTAGAAGAAACCTCAAAGCCATCATCTGGGTCTGGTCCCATGCCTTTCTGCAGGGACAATGTTAATGTGTCCATTTCACAGATTAACTATGTCGATGAAAACATCCAACTGAAGAGAAAACTTACAAGAGTTTATTTGAGCCCAACTGATGACAATTGCCGGGAAGCAAAATCTCAACAGATTGAGAAAATGCTTCACGAAATGGCAGTTTGCAGCTTATTTTATACATCAAATCAAAGGAGGAAGCTTACATGAAATTCACTGGTGATAGATTAAGGGGGTGGGAGAAAGCAAAGCGGGGAAATCTCTGGGATGGGATAAAAGTACCGTATTCCCCCATGTATAAGACGCACCCATGTATAAGACACACCTTAATTTGGGGGCCCGAAATTTGAAAAAAAATGTATTATATGAAGTTATTGAACTCAAGTTTTATTCATCATAAAATTCATACAACTCATCACTGTCAAAACTCCCAACCATTAGCTTGTCCTCCTCTGTGTCTGATAACAAATCACTGTCTTCATATATTGCCTCTCATGGCCTTCTTCTGACGTGGCATTTTCAGTAGGGTTTCTTCTTCCTGTAGCCAGTCTCAGATTGTTTTCTCAGTTGGAGGAGGACCAAACTTACGTTCAGCAGCACGATTTCCATTCACTTTTGCAAACTGGATCACTTTTAACTTGAATTCAGCACTGTACGAAAATCTTTTCTGAGCCATTTCCGGGCATAACGTGGCAAAATGTAACCTACTGTAATATACCGGTAACAAGTGCGAAACAATGAGCACAAAGACAACAAGCGCGAAAAAACGGGAAACGCAAGTAAAAAAAATCTACAACCACTGTATAAGACGCACCCAGTTTTTAGATCCCAAATTTTTTGGAAAAGGGGTGCGTCTTATATGTGGGGAAATACGGTAAATTTGAGGGACAGGTACTTTTTCACATGTGGGTGCAGGATAGTTAACAGTTCGCTTTTTACAGCACATAGAGATGGTAATCAGGAGACAGGCATATTAATGAGGAATTTTGCAGTTTCAGGAAAAAGAATTACAGACATTCCAAAGATATTATCTTAGGCACAAAAAGACAACAGACTCACTGAAAAGGAACAGATTAACTTTATGAAGGAAGCTAAAGATGTGACTTCCCGCCATGGCCCACTTAGTTATGAAATTTTTTTATGCTCACACCATCTTATGTGGTTATTTTCAGTCTCCTGAGCTTGTCAGATTAATATGTGCCCCCTTTTCCGTTCCCATTTCCCCCTTTTGGTCATAAATCAATTCAAAGGATGCATTGATGATCAACCTTTTGGTTGTATAGTGTGGTCCCATGGTGCTAGGAAGGCTCATTCCTAGGAAGTCTTAGTGTCAGCATTTATCTTGCTGAATGTTGTTGGACCATTGTGGGTGGAGCAAGACTATAATAACCTTAGATGGCAGACAAGGCCAAAACATTTATTTATATTTAAAATAAAGTGTGTGTAAATTGGAGGCTGTCAGATCCTATATGTCTTTATTAAATACATTCTGGATTATTTCTAATCTTTGAGATATCATGATCTGAGTTTTTTCTCTGTCTTATGTTGCTTTTTGTATCTAGTATAACATATACAAACTAGGACCAAGAACAATAGTATTAAACCAGTAACATTGATTGGGAGAAGAAAATGTCTATTAGACAAGTATGAGCCTGAGGGGAGCAAACACCCTAGCCAACCAAAGAACATTTACATGCGTTGTCATAATTTTTTTTATTGTTAATATGTTTTCCTGTCTTGTTTTACTGGTATTTGTACCCTATGATAAATTTAGCTAGATGAATGAAGACTATTATTTCATGTTCTAGAAATTCTAATTTTTCTTTTGGCCAATTATTGGGTTGTTGGAAAAGTCATCACGCAATTTTTGCAAAGAAAAACATAGAAAAAAATATATCATGACTTTTCCGACAACCCAATAGTTTCCATAGAAATGACTTCATGGGGAGGATTAAGTTCAATTTCCCAATGCATTGGATTTTCAGTATCAATGTTATCATGGGTTTTATTAACCTCAGGCAAAGTTAATTTGCCTATTATTTTAGTATTACACCATATTCCCATAGCATTTACTGTAAACCTGGTGTCATTACAATAGAAATCAGTATGACAAAAGAATTTTCTAACCCTTCCCAATAAAAAGTCCTCTTCCAATATACCATATATTGTTTGCTGAGGTGGATACAATAGGCTAGGATTGGGTGAATTCAGAATTCCATATAGACTGGGGACATAACCATTCACCCTTTTTTATTTAATATGGTCTATCTAGTTTAAATTGGAAGCATTCAAGTGTCATTCATTAATCTGATTTCTACAAGTTGTATAACTGGGAACTGTAACTTTAAGGTTTAATAGGGACCGGGCTGTAAGAACATAATAATAGTGTAAATTATAATTACTACTTAAAAATTTCTAGGGCCAGCTGAGTGGCACATTGATTAAGAGCTGGCTTGGGACACCAGAGGGCCCCAGTTCGGATCCCACATATGAGGGCCAGTGACACTGCCCTCTACAGCTAAAATGCTGAACAACAGCTCAATCTGGAGCTGGGCTGCCGTGAGTCGCTGGCAACCGCATAGGCTGTAGCACCTGCTGCAGTGGGATGCCATAAGCTACCGTGAGTAGCCAGCAGCCAGTGTGAGCGGCCATCAGCCGCCGTGAGCAGCCGTCCAGAAGCCGGCGACTGATCTGCCTCGCCTGGGAAGAGCCAATGATGGTGCCAACTTGGGCCAGTGAAGTAACGTCCTCCACAACTAGACTGAAGAATAAAGCGACAGCAACTTGTCTGTTCCCATTCCCCCAATTCCCCAGCGCTGTTCCCATCCCCCAATGCCCAACCAAAAAAAAAAATCTAAAAAAAAAAAAAATTTTTCTAGAGGCCAGGACACTAAGAGTTTCATAAATAAATTTTCTGTGCCTCAGCAGCCATTATAGAGGGCCATTTAAATA